TTTGTTTCTTTACCATTAAATATTAAAAAACAAACGACCATGAACTGTCCTGCATGGTTGAGGTAAATTTGCTTATTGATCATATGAATCCCCCCACCCCCCCAACACGAGATACTTGATAGTCCTTAAAAGCAGTATTCTTCTACGTGAAGATGTATCCCTTGAGCACCAGTTCCCTTGTGGACAGCACGCTCGTCGCTCAGTTTCGCCACACTGGTCCGGACTCTGGCAACAAGAGCAGTGCCGCCACAGACGACTATTCCAGTCTCACCTCCTGTAGCCTCCACGGCGCATCTTATAAAGCTTGCCACGTCGGGTCTAGACGTAGAATGGTGTATGTGGGAGTCATTACTTGCCTGAGATAGGCGTTTTCGAGGCGATATGCCGGCAGACGCTTCAACATCTGTGGAACAGCAACCGCCGCCAGATTTTTCTGTTGTGCCAGTCCGCTCCACCGCCAGTGTCTTTTTCTCACGACCACTCGTCGATCCAGATACTGAAGACAACTGTGACCTCGAAAACGACTCCAGTTGCCCGTTGCCTGTCACTGCAATATGCACAGACAATGTAATACCTTTTTCGCTGGCTGCATTCAGCGCATCATGTAGTCGGTCAAGGTAGAACCCAATCTCCTCACCCTGGCGGGCCGTCAAGAGAAAGTCAATGCGCTTGGTACAAATCGTTGACTTGCACTGGAGCACGCTCTCGAGGATCGGTAAAGTAAACGAAGCACCCGTCGATGCTGACACAAGGACCAGCGTCTCAAATATGTCCCAGCGCGGCGGACGACCGTAGGGACCTGACACAAAAGCGGTGAGTGTTTTTTTGTTTCCCAAGGCTTCCATTCTTTTCGCATACGAATGAAGTCGTTTCGAGAAGCCAGAGTGCGATCGGATCACTAGTTGAATGCTATTACAAATGCATGTCTCGGGCATTTGATGGGCACAGGCGATTGTGAAAGGATGTGCCTCCAAGGGACCGACTTGTGGCAGCCACAAATAGAGATGCTGTCCAGCATTCCATGTGAAATGAACATCTTTGATCGTCAAGATGGTGATTGAGTCTCCAACGGAGCTGGTTTGCGTCTGATGGCCAAATCTCTGGCCTCCCTTGCAGCGCGACGGGTTTGGGTTGAGCTTGATATTCTGCCAGAGAAGAAGGCCAAAGCGAAATACTCGATCAAACACCAATACTGCAATGGCAAACCAGATGTTGTATTGCGCATACGCGGGTACGTGCACATATATTACCCACAAGAACATGATTGCAGCAAGAATGTGCTGCAACACAAAGATCTCGTAGGCCATGGAGCGAAAGGGTTTCAGGGAAGTGATGACCATCCACAAGAGAATCCCCCAGGCGCCAAGTCCATATCGAATAGATGGCATCATGGCCAATTCCAAGTCAACGTAGTCGTAGAGTACCCATTCCGACCAGAAGTGAAATCCATGCACGGTAGCCGTAACGAACATGGTCCGCGCCACCCAGCGGTGCAGCCAATTGAGTCTCTCGTAGCTTGAACCTGCAAGCAGAGCTATAATACTCGTCTTGGATGAAAGCAAGTACAGGAGGGGAACCTGCGTCACTGTGACCCAGGCGTTGCGAAATCCAATGCGCTCCCAGAAGTATGCGTCCTTGACGACTGCGCCTGCAGTCATCATGTAGATAATGACAGCCCAGTAGACGAAAAGGCAAATGACTCGGCCCATGGGTGGTGGTGTCAGCCAGGACAGCCGTTTAGATGGAATGTATAGCTGTGGGTAGCTAACCTCGCGGCCGACAGCAGTCAAGGTTGCCCATGCTTGAAAATACCAGGTTTTTGGTTTCGTGGGATGTTCGGTAGAAAGCATTTTCGAGTTTCTCAGCCTGTAAAGCTGGTTAGCACGATCACAAAGGAAAAATCGAGACCTCGCAACCAGTCGCTTCTCCTTACCTAGCCCAATTTTGCCCGTAATTGAGTAGACGCACTACCATCAGCATGCCCATGACAGCTGCTATGAGGTACCAAAATGTGTAAGCATAAGACATATTCGTCGCTTGGAACATGCCGCTGGAACTCATCGAGTCCATCGACATGTCCATCCCATCCATGTCCATTCTGATGCTTTATGGGATACAACCCAACTCGGTGGCGACTGGTGTTCAAGTATATGGGATAGGGCTTGGCGCAAGGCTGCGATTGAGTTGGGTTCCGCGATCGGGAATCGGTTCAATTTGCATAACAACTCTCAATTCTTGACATTTATTCTGGTGGTCGGCACCAGATACGAATAAAGAGGTAGGCAGTCGAGATAATCACCAGTGTTTGCCGGCAGCTTCAAGCATCAAATTGACTCAAGATGAACCGCAGTGATTTGATGCGCAACTCGAATCGGTCGGGCACACCGCTTTGAATTGAAGCAGAACTGCTTTCCGCCACGAAGACCGAACAAGGAGACAAATCGGGAAATAAAAGTGATATCGGCATCAGAATCCGAAGACGAGGTGTCGATCCGTTCAAAAAGAAAGCGTGTCCTCGTTTAGTGACAGTCTGGTGCAGCAGCCACAGTACAGACTGGTGTAACAGTGTAGGTAGTGAACCACCTCAATTGAATGTCGAATATACCGTTGGGAGGGATGAATTCAAAGTCATGGCAGATAAGAAAGAGGACTCGCGCGTCTGATCAGTTGCCGTTTGGTTGTATGAAAGTCAAAGAGAATTCGGCACTCAAACGTGCACAAGTTGTCAAAACGGGCAAGCATCATTGCCGACCTGGTACTTGATTTGCACCCAATGATGTGTAGGAATCGAATCGAGACTGAACCTCCGACCAGCGCATCATTGGAGGGCGTTTGATCACCTTTGATTGAGAAGTGGCTTGATTGCCTGACACCAGGGCTGCATCGAGTCGAGGTATCTACCTAGTACCTCTCTTACTCACTCCCTCTGAACAGGTTGTTTGCTAGCGGATGCCATAGTTCGGGTACTTACCGATCTTGAGAAGTCGCTACTCTTTTAGCTGCCGCTCTCACGGACATATCGTCACGGCCAGACCTGCCTATAACTTGCTCAAAACACCTCAGACGATTGATGCTTAACCCGTACGAGTTAACTTAATTTGTGTAGTGTACATTAGCCCCCTTCCCCGCCTCGGATGGTGCCCTGGCGACCATAAAACAACATCGCCTTCCCAAGTGAGCTGGAATACCCTGTCGCTGCCACTGCGAAGTGGCAATGACTTGAAAGTAGCGAGACGTTTGCATCAAGGATAACATCTTTTGCTCAATGCTAGATGGGCCAAATAGAAATGTAAATCAAATTGTGCCTGTGCCAAGAAATATGGTATGCTGACCAAAAAATACCACCTATCCATGTCTGGGCTTGGCTAGAGGCTTGGCGAGAAAGCTTGCCCTTTGAGTTTATTATCCTAGAGATCTTCGATAGCCTTTTTGAGCACGTTTGGAACCGTAGATCCTTGAACATGTTTCAGCTAGGTACTAAACCCAGGTAAAATCAAGGAACCAACAAGACGATGTACTTGCGCGGTGATGTATATGCAGCTCAGGCTATTGGAAGCAGCGGCGTTGACCACATGAATTGATCGCAAGGACCCTTGAAATTTCCAACCCGCTTGCCTGACTGCACATGTGTTTCCACTAGGTTAGGACACTACGTTAGTCGGAGCAAGTAGGCAGGCAGGTACTGTGTATACCTACTAGTAACAACCTCAGCAAGCCGAGTGCTCTCTCTCCTTGGCTGCCGTCCGAGCACGGAATCCAGTTGCTCGCGTGTTTGTAGCTGCAGTATTGCAGGTAGGTAAATAGCTCTCAAAAATCCACGCGGCTGGATACATAGCTCTTTACTTTTCCTGCTCAATGCTGTCCCCTTTGATTCTGACTCTTTTCTTTAGACCTCAACTCTAATTCCCACCACGTTACACTTCTTCGTCGACCAAAGCAGGTACTCGACGTCTTGACAGCAGTCACAATGCCATCCATCGCATCGATTACCGCGGCAACTTTGCTGCTCGTCGGCTCTTGCCAAGCTCACTTCCTCCTGCTGTCGCCTTCTCCCGCTGGCACCTTTGATGAGGATTCTGAGAGCAGTGCCCCATGCGGTGGCGTTACGCCCAGCTTTTCATCAGACAACATCACAGACTTTGCGGTTGGTGGTGATGCGATCGCTACACAGCTCGGCCACCCGCAAGCCAACTTTCTGTACAGATTCACCACCGAGGAGTCAGCAGATGGCAACTGGACGCAGGCCTACCCAATTGTACAGCAAAGTGGCCTCAAGTTCTTTTGCATTCCAGATGTAACCGTGGACGAGAGCTATGTCGGGCAAACAGCTGTACTGAGCGTAGTCGCTGACGCCCCGGACGGTCTTCTCTACCAGGTATGTCATTTAGCGGTTGCTTTTGCAGAAACTTACTAATGCGTCAACAGTGTGCCGTTGTCAAGTTCGTATCTGGCGTCAACTCCAATCTGCCGAGCTCGTGCACCAACACCAGCGGTGTTACCGGGTCTTTTATGACAGATGACAAACTCACTGCTCTGGTTGATACAACCACTAGCAGCAATAGTTCCGATACGGCTACAGGAACTTCCAGTAGCACACCTTCGAGCACAAGCAACGCTGCTCCGAGTCAGTTTGGTGGATCGATTGATGGACTCGTCAGTCTTGTCACACTCGGCGTAATGGCAGCTATTGGTGCGGGCTTGATAATGTAGAGGTGGCATAACCGATACAAGGATCAACCCATGAATAAAGTCCATCGAGTTCCTTCTTCGTGACCAAGTTGAATTTTATTGCTGTTTTATCGTATGAAGGGGCTTCCACCACGCATTTACCACCCTATATTGCAGTTTGGCATATCACGGCTGCTGACCTTGAATGCCTTGATCAAGTGACGGATTGTATCTTGCTGTTGCAGAACGAGATGTGCCAAGAGTTTTATAAAGATACGCTAACATTGTGGCCGACTACATGAGTCAAGATGATTGACTGTTGATGATTTCTTGCCTGCTAGATCAGCACAATTAAGCCAATAGCTCTTTGGACACTTCTGGAGTATTGATATAAGCAATCCCTTCTTTTCTCCATGTATCATCCTCGACCCAGCTCTCAGTCGCGTTCAAGACAATGTTCTTTGGGGCCTCGAGATCGTAACTTGGCCAGGTTGGCAAAATATCTTCCTCACTTCCAGCAGCACCGTTGGGATTCAGATCATTCACAAAGTGCGCGTATGCTTGCCCGATCCCCCGGGCTAGCCGCAGATGGCTGTCGTACTCGGGACTAGGACCGAGCAATCCGGAAATGTTTTGAAAACTAAAGGCAACATTTTGGAAATGCTTGACGCCGTCCCATTCAGGTCCATTCCAGATGCGCTGATCGAATCGATAGCTGTACACGTCGACTCCAGCATTGGTGTATAACTCGGCCATCTTGCGCCTTTGGGATACCATGACCAAGTCGGACCCTATGGAGGCGGCCCTACGCCATTGCAGGCCCCGAGCTTCATTTCGTGTACAATTTGTAATGGCATACGGGACAGCGTAGCATGGATCATCTGGGTAAAGCTCAAAAAGCTTACGCACCGTTGGTGGCGTCAAGGAATAGGAACGCCAGGTGAAGATGGAGTTGAATATGTCTTCTTCCGTGTTTGGTGTTCCTGAAATGGCAAAAGATTCATCTGTGTTGGCACCAGTGATGATGGGCACCGCGTTGTAGCTGCCATTCTCGATGAGCTGACTGGGATAACCTGTCAAAAAGTCGCCGTCCAAGAGAGGATTCCAAACCACGGTGGGATGAGCGGCAAATAATGTAGCTTGGTCGAGGGATCGCAGACATGCTAGTTGATCAGATACGCCCCAGCAACCAACAGCCCGGGTGAGGTTCTCCACGGCGGTGTTGTACCAGGAAAGTGTTTCGATTTGCGCACCCGTTGGACCTCCGCTTTCCATTATAGCCCCACGGAAAAGCCCATCATTACGCCCGCCGTAGGCAAACATATGATAGGCAACACTCTGGGCCCCAGCACTTTCGCCCCAGATGACTACCTCGTCAGGACTTCCACCAAACCCAGCAATGTTCTCTTGGATCCAATGCAGTGCGAGTCGCTGATCCAATAAACCGGCATTGCTTGAGCCCTCTGCAAGGATCTGAGCAGTCTGCAAGAATCCCCACATGCCCAAGCGATAGTTCATGCTGACACCAATAAAGGGTTGCCCAATATCCTGTCCAACCTTGACAATGCCGGATAGGTTATATTGTGGGTCGGCAGTGCTTCCAGCATACTGTTAAACATGACGGTCAGCTTAGAAAAGGCTGTGCTCATGGCAATGGCATTGTGTGACTCACGAGCCCACCTCCATAGATCCATACCAGCACCGGAAGAGGTTCTGAAAAGTTTCCAGAAGGCTTGATGACATTGATGGTTAGGCAGTCCTCCGATATGTTGAACGTGCTTCCATATTGCATGCAACTATAGCCATATCGCGTCGCGTCGCCAATTCCATCGAAAGACGAGTTAATACTTTGTGGCCAGCGATACCTAAGGTTACCCACGGGCGGCTGTGCATAAGGGATACCGAGGAAGACATCTTGGTTCCACTCGGACAAATGAAGGCCTTGGTATGTCCCATTCACAGTTTGTGCTGTTGGTGCCTGAGCCCAGCCGCAGGGCAGAGCGAGCAGGCCTGCCAAGCCCACCAGGAGACTACGCGATATCATATTGACGTGTGTTGAAGAGACATTCTTGATGTGAGCCGACTGCTGTCATTATGGTGTCTTATAATCCAAGCCCGGCGAAATGACAGTTTCCTTGGCAATCTAGCGTGTCCATGATTGGAGGAATAACATGGACTGATGGCTCCTATAATCTGGGAATATCTGGGGTTTGGAGACGGCCTAGCCAATTCGATTCAAATAAAACTTGGGGTAAGAGGAGAAAGGCGTTGGGGATGGATGGTCCTGCATTAGCGAGCTGGAACGATTTGGCTGAATTGTTTGGGTCGGATACCACCGAATGAGCAAGGGTTCGCGAGTGACCAATAACGATGTGTGGGCAATTGGCCACCTAGGTGGTACTGGATAATTATAATTGCGTGAGTAATTATGCTAGAACTTCCTTCGCCTATTCTTTGCTTTTGATTGCTGTGTACCATCTAGAGTGGATGGGCGGACACTCTGTGGGTTGTGGAACACATCATTTCCATCCCAGTCTGACTTGATTTGCCCTAATCTATCAAGATTTGGGCCCCAGTATGACTCTTGAGCATTGGTCAACAAGGGATCAACATATCCTGGGTATGTTGTCAGAGTCTGACCCGCAGCACTCTGGATATTGTTAATGAGGCCATTCATAAAATCCTTGGTCGTCTGAGATAATGTCGGGATGCCGATTCCATAACCTTGACAGAACATGATCTTGTCGCGATGTGAATAGGCGGTAGCATTCATAGGTATGTCGTTGATGGCACCTCCTGAAACGTCAAAGATGAGGAACCAGAGAAGGGTACCGCGATCTGTCTCGTCGAGGTAAGTCATCATGCTCTTGATCTCGTCCGTGGTGAGCAATTCGTCTTGGCGGAACGCTAGACTTCTTGAAGTGAATGCACTCTGAATATCAGAGAGATATAGTGCTGCATCCTCCGCCTGTTGTGCAACGACACCGAGCCAATCGTCGAGTACGACTGATACCTTTCCAGCAGGTATCTTGTCAGGAATGCCCGTTGCATCAAATTCTTCTTGTGTCCCATAGAATGTTGCCGTAATGACCAAACCCAGCTCGTGCATGACAATCTCGGATCCGAACCTTCGATCGAGCTTGGGATCTGAGATGAGAGTCTGCCACTGTTCAAAAATGTCGATCATATCAGCGTGCTTTGCAAAAGTTGCCGTGAATGAATATTGAACGACGCTGCCGGGCTCAGGGTGTGTTTTGACGACGAACTCGGTAATCACTCCAAAACCCGCACCAGCACCTTTAAGAGCCTGTAGGGTTTAGTCGAGTCCATTTCAAACTTTTATGAATACTGAAAACTCACAAAGAATAGGTCGGAATTCTCAGTCTCACTGGCACGGTTGATGGTACCATCTGCTGTCACTACTTCAACCTCGACAACGTGATCTAGACATGATCCCCACATGCGTGATGACGGGCCAAGCCCACCCTGTGAGAATGCTTTAGAATTTGACAGATTTGGCCACTTTGGAGTCAATCATGCTTACAATCGTGGCATGGCCGCCAATTCCAACTCCAGGACAGGTTCCGTGTGCCATGGCTCGGTTGCCATTATCATGTAACTCTTGTGTGACATCAGATAGACGATGTCCTGCCCCGATTGTTGCCTGCCAGGTGTTTGTGTCCATTGAGAATTGGGTCAGTTTTTGAAGATCCAGGACCAACTGGCCATCAACTCCGCCGAGCCCTACAGAGAGGTCAGAGATGTTACCTAGCAATGGAGAGAGGACGAACCAAAGTTTCTAGAATTGTTTCAGTGAATAAAACTGCAAAGAAGACGATGAAAATAGAAAGCACTTGGAAGACTCACGCGTATGAGTGACCCCCCGACTTGGCCTGTACCTTGATATCACTGGCCACAGCGCACTTGATAAATGCTGAGACGTCGTCGGCAGACTCGGGTCTTGCCACGGCGATGGGAGTGACTGGCAAATCCAAGTTGTATGGTTTGACCCAGAGAGCCTGGTATAAAATTGTGTCTGGGTACGCGACGCAATCGCTTCGACCATTGCAGACAGTATTCAGGCAATCTGCCAGCGGGCTGCTCGAACCTTGCCCCATATCGCCGTTCAAAGGATGATGATGAGGTGATGCTGCTGCCCAAGTGGTTGTATTGAAATGGTTGAATAGGTACCTAGCAATCCGAGATACATGGAGAAATATGACCAAGGAAGACTATGCCATAAAAAGTCGCAGATGCTGCTAGGGTAGAGTTTTTCATGAGGGGACAGGCGCTGGGATTGTTTCAACCTTATATTTTCCTCATCGTGGTTGATCCGCTGATAACGTGCTTTGGCGGCACTTTCCCTGGCAGTTACACATACGACAAACATGGATGAGTGATGATTGAGATGATGGCAAGCACGGGCAAACAAGTTCAGGGTACATGAAAGGTCTGCCTCTATCTGCCTAGTGAAATGATCCATACCTAGGTACATTCTCAATTGGCAAGGATGGTGCCTTTCACCGTTGACGACGTGGCCTCCTACTGATCTTATTGGGCTGGGTAATAGACGTTTGCTAGTGATTGACTCTCAATTTTGTACCCAAACGTGTTTTTTTCTTTGCTCTACACATGCAACTTGCACTTACTGGACCAATACTGAACCATGCTGAGGACGTGCCACTCGCCACCTCGCTGAGCCACGCATGAAGCATTATGCTAAATGGCAGTTGTCATGGCCAGTAGTGGTGCAGAAGAACCTTGTAGGCCCTGGACCGTGACGGCCGCCAAGAAAAGCTGCATCTTGTCGGCCAGGATTGCATAGCAATCCGCAAGTTTCCTTGCTTTCCCCCAAGATCTACTTAGCACATTCAGGTACAAAACCTAGGTAGATTTTCGAAATCGGGAACACAATTAAGCTGTGGAACAAGGAAAAACCATCCCAGTCAAAGATGAGCCATATTTGCCTGTAGGCGCTTCTGGCTATCCACTAAGCTGGTAGAATGACCCTACTTTTCAACGGCTCAGGGCTGAGTGCAACCATGGTGGGGTTGTCTAGCCCAATGAATACTACCAATGAAGGCTACATACGTCAAGGGCAATCCCAGTCTCGATTGTTCTGGGGTAGGGACCGTTCCCTACCCGTGCACTCTGTACGATTACTACCTTTGTAGTTCGTACTTGCTGTATCATTTGCCTTTGGGGCAAATGACTGGACAGTACGTATTGGGTCGGTGAACAGCGCGTCAGGGTGAATGTGTCTTGTCACACATGCCATGGTATTTGCGTTGGATAAGAGTATATATAATGGGAAACTGTGTTTGGTTTCAAGTTGTTGAACATGCACCACGACATGTGTATCGTAAATTTAACAAGGGACCTAAGCATACGATGATCTTCATATCCAGTACTGTGTAATCTAGTAGGTAGTGGGACAAGTGCGACCGCGCCCCAGTTGACAGCCAGCCCGTTTCCAGAAGCCGAGCCCATTGGCCTGACAATTTCGGGGAATCCTCAGGCGAGAACGTTCCGGCTTGCAGACCAAAACAGGTTGGAAATGTTGTCAGTGCATCGGTTCCCCGCACATTTCACTGCTAGGACAAAAAGAAAGCACTGCGCCGGTCCTATGCATGTTCAAAGAAAGCGGCAGTAACAAGAATTCTATATAATTGTCCTCCGGGTCGGAGAGGTCTGCCTGTGTTGCTTTCACTCCAGTGGACAAGATGTACACCAGCGGTCCTGATAAAACTACAGGCTACGACATGGAGTTGCATGGGTATTTTCCCTCGCTCCATACATCAAGCGTGTGTTTATGCTTAATCTGTACAGACAAACACAACGCACTGACGGCCAGCTTCGTCAACTTGTATAGCGGGGCCGACGATAAGCGGTAGTAGTGACTTTCAGGTGGACGCGATTACGTACGGTGAAACAAAAGCTAACCAATTCACATTTGCTTTTGTCGGGCGTATGACAGCTTCCCGCAGCTTTTGTATGCGCGTTGAACATACATCGCGATGAAAGGAAACCATGGGTTTGATTCTGACTTGAGAGTAACAAAAAAAAATTGAGGCATGCCCAAGAAGATCCATCAAACCGGCCTCCGGTTTTCTCGGTTCCGTCTCGTGGAACAGCAACACCACGCGGAGCCGAGACGGCGCTTACCTCGAAATCGAAAATCTGGGGTCCGGGGAACGGGGCATCATGGCGTAAACTTAACCCCATGACCATGCAGCCGGGCTAGTGCACTGCGTACGCCTTACTTAACCTGTAGAAACCGAGAGGGGGACCGGTATGAAAAGGGAGGGACGGGACGGTGTCATCTTTTGATTTTCGGACTGCGTTCAACTAGTTTTCCAATCGTCTCCTGTTTATCCTTTCTACAAGAGCTTGGGGGATCAATTCTCACGTACCTACTTTTGTAGTTTAGGTGGGTAGGTAAGCAAAATAACTGGGTCGGACATCTGTTTTGGGTCGAAGAGTTGACGTGTCTCGGACAACATTTCCGCAAGCATTTGACGGAGAACTCCATCAGGCCACTCTACTATGATCAAAAAGTCTTGATTCCACCACACCTCAATCACATATCTAGCAGTATAACCACGCTGTAGTTATTCCCGGTGTCTGGCTCAACCAACCAAGCCTCTACAACCCCGCAGAACCTCACTGCTCCCTGCCCCCAAAGCTCAAGTAGATGCCACCATGATGCATTCGCTCCTTCAAACGGCCGCCGCAACAACCCCACCTTGTGGCACCCCTCTTGCTCTACTCCGAGCTGCCGGCCCAGCTCTTGGAAGGCATGCTCTAGCTACAAGATCAACTGCCGCTTCATTGTCTGCACGCAGTCCATCTTTGCTAGGCATTTATTCCTCGACGACGGTCCGTTGTTATTCTGGCGGGAGGTACAAGGTTCGGCCCAGCCAAGCACAAGCTTTTCCGGCAAAGCTTTCAGAGACGTCAGCTTATCCTCCACCCTCTGGATGCCGCACTCCTGAACAACACTTGCATAGCTGGCACCGTCCCGTGTTTTGCGGAACCTCTCATCGACCTCTAAATATTTCGACTGTTCTGGCGCCAACAGCGCTGAAGAAAATCAGCACAACCGAATCCGCCTCGACCTCGGCCAGCACAACACAGCATCAACAACATCGCGTCTATTCTACGAGCAAGGTTGCAGACATGTATACAGCTTCGTTTGCCTTTTTCGAGGCGATATGGGAGGCCGGCGTGACCCATTGCTTTGTCAATCTGGGCTCTGATCACCCAAGTATCATTGAAGCCATGGTCAAGGGCCAACGCGAAAAGAAGGGCCAATTTCCGAGAATCATCACGTGCCCTAACGAGGTATGTAGGATGCTCAATATTTTCTACTGCGATCAGATCTAATCCAGGATCATTCAGATGGTTGCAATGTCCATGGCAGACGGCTATGCACGCCTCACCGGAAAGCCGCAGGTTGTCATTGTACATGTGGATGTTGGCACCCAAGGTCTCGGCGCCGCCGTTCACAACGCAAGCACTGGGCGCGCTCCGATATTAGTCTTTGCTGGTCTCAGTCCTTTTACTCTCGAGGGAGAGATGCGTGGTTCTCGAACTGAGTACATTCACTGGATCCAAGATGTCCCCGACCAGAAGCAAATCATCAGTCAGTACTGTCGTTATGCGGCCGAGATCAAGACGGGCCGAAACATCAAGCAAATGGTCAACCGCGCTCTTCAGTTTGCTACCAGTGACCCCCAAGGTCCCGTACACCTGGTTGGTGCCCGAGAAGTGATGGAGGAAGAGATCGAACCGTATCACCTGGAACAGGACGTCTGGGACCGCGTTGAGCTTGGCGGACTCCCAAAGACTGCCGTTAGCCAAATCTCTGAGGCATTAGCCGGAGCCAAGAAGCCTTTGGTTATCACTGGCTATGGTGGACGTAACCACAAGATCCCCGGCGCCTTGGTCGATCTAGCCAACTCGGTCAAGGGACTGCGAGTCCTGGATACCGGTGGCAGCGACATGTGCTTCCCGGCTTCTCATCCTGCGTGGTTGGGCCTTCGCTTCGGTGTCGAGGCGGAGATCAAGGAAGCCGATGTGATACTCGTCGTAGATTGTGACGTTCCATGGATCCCCACACAGTGCAAGCCGGCTGATACGGCCAAGGTTTTCCACATTGACGTCGACCCGCTCAAACAGATGATGCCTCTACATTACATTCCAGCTCAGCACCGCTACCAAGCCGACGTCCTGACTTCTCTGGAGCAAATCACAGAACACATCCAGACGGAAGTCGGTAGCAAGATCGATGCAGCTACAGCCGAAAAGGCCTGGGAGGGCCTGGTTACCTCGCACAAGAAGCGTCTCGACGACATTGCAGCCAAGGCTGGCCCCCAATCCGATGACACTTTTGGCACAGGCTATTTGTGCCGTCAGCTGAGAGAACAGTGCCCCGATGACACAATCTGGGCCATTGAAGCCGTCACCAATACGGCATTTGTGCATGACAATCTACAACCAGAGCTGCCCGGGTCATGGATCAACTGCGGCGGAGGTGGCCTTGGCTGGTCTGGCGGTGGTGCTCTAGGAATCAAGCTCGCGACAGATGCCGAGAATGGTGGACCCGGTAAGGGCAAGTTTGTCGTTCAAATTGTGGGCGATGGTACTTTCTTATTCAGTGTACCCGGAAGTGTCTACTGGATTTCGAAGAGGTACAACATTCCAGTCTTGACGATTGTTCTGAACAATAAAGGTAAGTCTAGTCGAACAAGCTGATGTTATTTCTCCATGTTAACGTCTATCAGGATGGAATGCCCCAAGAAAGTCTCTCCTTCTCGTACACCCTGATGGCGCTGGCTCCAAGGCTACCAACGAAGAGATTAACATTTCGTTTGACCCCGTTCCTGACTATTCGGGCATTGCAAAGGCTGCCGCCGGAGGTGACCTGTTTGCCGCCAAAGTTGACAAGGCATCGGAGCTCGAGGGAGTTTTGAAAACGGCCATTGAGACAGTCAAAGGAGGGCAAAGCGCTGTCCTTGATATCAAGGTAAATTTTGGCAGCTGAAACCTGAAATGATGCCGGTTTCGTGGGATGATCTATGCATGTGAATGACAGCCTTCATATTCTGTCCCTCGGGTTCAAGCTATAATTGAGTTGGGACGCTGTGGGTTTACTTACGACCCAGGTTCCTTGTCAAGCACGACAAGTCGGCCTACAGATAGGAGCGTATAGAATAAGACATTATGCAAAACATTTCTATCATCTGCTTATCATCTTGTGCTGCCTGTCAAACTTGTATCGGCGACTTTGTGATAACAAGGATCTGTTTCATTGGCATTTTCTCTTATTTCGTTTACCTTATTCAAGTCTACAAACTGCACTAATAGCCACTCCGTTCAAGACTATCAATCGCTTGAAAGCCCCGAGCCGCTTGGAGTTCATGTTTCATACCGTCGCCCAAGAGCCCTACATCTGTGGTGACGGAAACCATGTCAAATCCATCTCGTTCACGCTGTCTTGCCTGAGCACCGTCTGTGCCTATCAACTCGAATTAGTCACTGACATTACACATTACTATGCAAGCACTCACAGAATATCGCCGCTTTCTTCCCGGCAGACTTTGTGGCGTTCAGAATGCGCTGGATGGCGGCCTCGTGCTCCTCTCCGCCACGCTCGACTCCCATCTGCTTGGCAAGGTCAAAAGGACCTGCGAAAAAGTTAGCAAGACCGCTTGAAAGATGACAGGGAGCTAGTCAAGAAGAAGAGAAGCTAGAGATGCGTGGAACACTCGGAACTGAGACGATCTGCGGCAGTTGAAGGGAAACATTCGAGACCGATGTTGAACAGGAATAACCCACCAATAAAGACCACATCAACACCCTCTACTCGAGTAATTTCCTCAATGTTTTCCACGCCCGATTTTGACTCTATCTGCACAACGACCAATAGGCCTGTTGCAGCTCCGGCATCATATGCTGTTCCCACGCCCGGAATCGCATGGGTTGCAAACATTGGTCCATACCCACGTGTTCCCAGTGGCGGGTACTTGGAATATCTCACGATGCGAGCAGCATCCTCCTGCCCATCTGGTTAATACTCGACACTAACAGGAGAATAGCCAGGACAGAGGCCACGGGACAGGAGACTCGTCAACATACGGCAGAATGACACATTGGTGTAACAATCCCGTGTGCTCCAGCATCAAGGGCTCTCTTTATAAGCCATTCTTCAGACCATGGAACACGGATCAAAGGGCTCGCACCCTCTGAAGCAATTGCGTTGGTGAGCTTAGAAAAGTGTTTTTGTTAATAAGATCGTGACCCTTTGTACCATACGCAATAGGAGGGGGAAAAGAATCGTGCAATGGGGATAAAACACACCTCGTAGTAGTCTTTGTCAGAGATGAGCCCATGCTCTGCATCGATCAAGACCCAACTAAAGCCAGCCTCTGGGTCGGTGGAACAAGATCGCAGTATAGTCTTGGCTACTGCTGCACTAGGAAGGCTGCAGGATGGATGATTATCGAATAAGCCAATAGTATTCCGAGGTCGATGCGCACCCAGGAATGAAAGCAAGTTTCGCACTCAAGATGAACAAAATCAAACAAGTAAAGTTACGGAATAATCAAAGGAGATGAGCTGTACTCACGTAAGCCAGAACCCGTAAGCAGCATTTGATCCGATATCGAGTGTTTTTTTGATCGCAGTACCAAACGACATGATTGCGAGAAGTAACCAAACTAGAAAGAAGAATGTACGTTTATCAGAGTGTCGGTAGTCGTGAAACTGCGTCAACTTGAGATTTGTATTTGGACACAGCCGACACGAGATTAGACAGGACCTGGTACAAACATCACCCGCAAAATGTAGGGGTATATTTGATAACTGTTCCTAACACGTGCCCAAGGATCACCAGTTGCGAAATTCTTTAGACGAGATTGGTAGTAGATGTCTCTTTGTCCCCCGTGACTATTCAGGCGTAGTCGGCAGAATTGAAGTGCGGAGCTCAATGGTTTGGTGAACTTGACGAGGGCGGTCATGCCTTGAGCGACACATTAATTAACAGCTCGCGCCAGTATTCCGTAGGCAGTTTGGCAGCAGAGCGTGTGGGCAGGCCTCCGTTTAGCCGTTGCGCTGTACAACGTGCGGCGAAATAGGCTCCATAACATGGGCCGCCGGTTATAGTGAGCACTGGTGCCAATCAGTAAGATGGCTCTAATGCAGCTTCTATGCAGCAGGCCCGTTACCGCTTGTCATGGTTTAGCATCTGCCGATCATATATGGGTCCTGGCAGACAACAGTGTACTTCTGGCAGCTAGAGAGAATCGGACCGCTCATTTCACGATTCCCTTACAATCATTAAAAAAGAGCTCATCTTACCAACTGCATAAAAGTCTATACGTGGATCATTCTCTGAAAGCCTTTCTTTCGACACAAAGTGATCTTGTCCATCAAAGCTAAACTTACAACCGCAAGTCAATCAATATGGCCGCTTCTCTTCAGCTTGCTGATATGTTCAGCGTCAAGAACAAGGTAGGGTTCGTTTTCGCAAATGGGACTGAAAATACTAGCTGACACGGAATTCCAGGTGGTTGTTGTTACTGGAGGTGGCACGGGTCTTGGTAAAGGTAATACCATTTGATCCAATATTAAGCACAATACCATATTGAGTCATTCCATTATCTAGCTATTTCACAAGCTTTTTGCAGCAATGGGGCCAAGGTTTATATCACTGGCCGTCGCCCTGAAGTTCTTGAGAAGGCTGCCGAGGAGTTGATGGCCAATGCATCTCTTGGCGGAGAAGTCATTTGGTACGTTCCAATAGGTTGCACATCTCGTTTGATTATCCAGTACCAGACCCTTGCCTTGGCATATCACTCTCGTTCGCCCACCTCGAATACAGCTTACGTAAAGGTTCTAGCATACCGGGCGACGTCGGGACGAAAGATGGCTGTGCCTCACTTGTGAAGCAGATTGGGGAGAGGGAGCAGCATGTGAGTTCAAGCCTTTCTCTCGTTGTCTTGCGATTATTTAAAGGGTTCAAGTGTCTCAGCGACTGACATGATAACACAGATTGACTGCCTCGTCAACAATGCTGGTGTTTCCAGACAGATCGACTACCCTGCATGGGATCATAATGACCGTATGATGATTAATCAAAGCCCAAAATTTCATTGTCTACTAACATTGCAACAGCTGAGCAAGTTGAAAAGGCCTTGTGGGAGGGCGTGGACGAGTATGCACCAGAATCCAACTTTAGAGACTCTATCTAATAACGATGTGCAGTGATCATTTTACATTCACAAACTCTGGTGAGTTTTAAGAAAAGACCCATTTAGTTCTAATGTCCCAAGGCTGTTGACATTTGCGGCTGCCAATTCTAGTTAATGTTAACGGTGTATACTTTACGACGGTCGGCTTCGTTCCGCTACTTCGCAAAGCTGACGATCCAAATGTAATTGTCATATCGTCACTTGCTGGCCTCGCCAACCAGAGGTAGGCTGGAAATCGGAAGAAATATTGCTTTTTATATCAGGATACTGAAGATACCTTTCCAGAGCTATGGGATCGATGACTTATGCCCTTTCGAAAGCCGCATGTATGTCTCAACTGCAATTGAACCAACTTCTCTTCTAATCATCTTATAGCCCTTCACCTTGCTAAACTTCTTGCTGGCCGTTTTCACCCGTAAGTTGAAATTGATTCTAGACATGCAAAAAAAAAAAAAAAAAAAAAAAAGGCCGGATACAGAGCACTCGCTATTTGCCTGTCGGACCAGAGTTTGTGGCAAAATGGTTGACTCGTGAGCAGTATGAGGATTAGGGTCAACTGCATCCTTCCCGGTATATTTCCTACGGAAATGACTACAACAAACAATACCAGCAATGAAGAATCAATGAACAAATATGCGGTCAAGGCTGCAAAGCGATGTACAGCCGGTGAGTTACGAAAACGCCTAAAGCTGGCTCGAAGGCGCACATTGCAAGAAGACTAAAATAGGATTATAGGTCGTGGCGGAAGGCCAGAGGAGATTGCCGGTCCATGTATAATGCTTGCATCTAAAGCAGGAGGGTATATGAACGGTGGTTTTCTCATGATAGAGGGTGGTCGATTCATGGTGAGTTCACATGGAAGCGTGAAGCCTTTTTCGTGCTCTTCGAATACTTGTTCAACTTCCACAATCATTTCCTATTGAATCTGGCTGTTACTGATACTGTACTCAGGGGGCCTCAATCCATGATGGTTTGCGCATGCCAGAGGACACTTATGTCAACTAGACTTGTCCCGGCGTTTCTGATATCTTGGAGTTGCTAGATTAGGCTCACCGTGCTCTGCGTTCATCCACGCCAAGTGCTCACATTAGAACCTGATGCTAGGTAGTTAAATATATCCTAGAGAATATCTTGGACAACCTGAAAGCCCTCTTGGATAATGTGACAAGCATTCTCGCGCCTCGCCGTTGGAGCACCACACCATCACTGTTAAATGATAACTTGTTCAGCCAGATGCGACTAGTTCGGGGAAAAGCCATTCATCCTAGAGACCATGATAACTGATGTTGTTTGTATCTTCTTGAACATTGCAAAAGTCCGCTTGGAACCAATTTGACGCGCTCTGAACCCAATTAACTCAATCATATTCGAGCTTACCAAACAAGCATTGTGCCACACCTCGACATCAACACTTCCAAGATTCATTTATAACTAAATACCTCCAAACTTTCACTATGATATGAGAGACAAACTTACTACCCTTGCCAAGTATTTTGGAGCCACTCGTGTAAGTTCAAGTAGCTGACGAAGATGCGGCTTCACATGGGCGAAATCAGCTGAGATATCAGGGGCTTTTTGATGGACAAATCTCAAAGCCATTGTTTGAAACTCGGAATCTTTTGTGTAGTGACTACCACGATTTCGTTCAAGCTTCCCTGGTAGTGTCCTGTGACGTATACCTTCCCCGGAGACGATGCTGATAAACCCAGTTCTCCAAGCTAAGCCGCCGGGTCAATTGCCATGACTCGAGCGGCGCAATTACGGCTCTACCCAAAGTATTTACCAGGTACGAGATAACAGCCTTGACTAGTGCATCTTCAAGTCACCATAAGGGCAACATGTTTTGGTCAGCGTCTAGGAGAATCCAAAATGTATATCAAGTGAAAAGTGACTATAGGATTTCTTACACGGATAACACCCAGCAAGTAAAGATCCAAGACATCATAACTTGGTCTCACTTCACTGACTTCGCGCATTCCGTATGTCCCAAGTAGCCTGCTAGACTCACGCTTTCTTTTCAATCTAGACTGTTATTTCTCCGTCTAGCACTTGGCTGCTGGGTCAGCCTATATACCCGAGTACGACAGATAACTCACTTGCTTGGTCCCTGTCTGCTTGCCTTGGATTCCCCATGCTCTCCGCATTTAGCCCCCACTAGCCCGGGGATTAGCTACGCCATCCCCATGGGCTTAGTACGATCCACCTTGAAGATATCAAGCTGAACTTCATACCTATAAGGGGCGACTCTCGCATGCGTAATTGATATCCCAATCCTCAACTGTCTCTTCACATACCCTGGACTTAAACGTGAGCTAACAATCAAATAAATCTGCTTCACTGAATATGGGCGGAAGCAACAGTCAGCCTACTTACAGGGACCTTCCCAACAATACTGCATCATGCTGGTGGAAAGACTCTTGCCTCCGCCGCAATGTCCTTTACGGCGTCGGGTGTATGATGTGTCCATTTTATCTTGGATGTAAGTCCTTCCTGGGAGGCACGTGTGAACAAAAGCCTGCTAATCTTGATGCAATGTACAGTTGACCAGTCGCTGCTTACTGGTCTTCAGGCGCTGCCCCAGTGGACAAGCTATTTCAATCACCCCTCTAGCACACTACTGGGCCTCATGTCTGCTGCCATTTTCCTCCCAGGGATATTCATGGGTTTCGTGGCGGCGTGGATTTGTGGTCGTTGGGGCCGCAAAAACTGCGTCTTGGTAGGGGCAACACTCATGATTGTCGGCGGCATCTGGAACGCCCTGTCGGCAGACACTGCTCAATTCATTGGCTGTAAGAACAAGGTCACCTCCGTGCTGGAAGAACACGATCATTAGGGCTGACTTACTTTCTTAGCCAGAGTCATTCTAGGTACCGGTGGTGCAATTACCAAAGTTGCTGCGCCAGCTCTTTTGCAAGAGACAGCTCACCCACGACTACGACCTGCAATGGGCAACATGTATTACGGTTTCTACTATGTTGGATCTCTGTTGAGTGCTATAGTATGCAGTAAGTTGCTCATCTCAAATGGTGAGGGAAATGTACTATTGAGGACTCACACTGTATCTCAACCTAGTCATTGGCCTTTACATTGATGGCGAATGGGGCTGGCGCATGCCATGCATGCTCATGATTCTCGGGCCTATCATGGCGATTTCCATTCTTATCACAGCTCCCGAGTCACCCCGATTTCTAGTCAAGCTTGACAAAACCGACGAGGCTTTGAGTATGCTCGCCAAGCATCATGCCAACGGGGACAGGGAGGATCCCTTGGTCAAATGGGAATTTCATGAAATCACGGCAGCCTTGGAGCATGAAAATGCTGGGAAAAATGCATCCTACGTATGTTCAAGACCTTTCGCAGATGCAATTAGCTTGCACAGATATTGACCTAGATGTAGTCGGACTTTTTCAAGACTAGGGGCAACCGGAAACGACTCGCAGTGTCTTTGCTCATAGCCGTTGGTGTCAATTGGGTTGGCAACGGTATCGTGTCATAGTATGTCCCAGATTCCCAATTTTGACAAAATTGTATGCTCTACTAACACAGTTTTTGCCAGTTACCTATCACCCGTACTTCGATCGATTGGCATTGCAGCTCCTTCGGAACTGCTTGGAATCAATGCCGGTATCGCTGCATTCAACTTGATCATCTCAGAGGCCGCAGGCTACAATATCGATCGATTTGGACGCCGTCCACTGTTCCTCATCTCGACTATCGGAATGATTTTCTCGTATGCCTTTGTTATGGGATTCTCAGCTGGGTTTGCTTACACCCATACTGCTGCTCTGGGTATCGCAGCTGTTCCCTTCCTCTTCCTCTTTTACGGATTCTACGACATTGCATGGACCCCCCTGAATTACTCATACTGTGTGGAGATCATGCCGTACAACATCAGGGCCAAAGGTCTAGCAATTTATCTGTGTGTTCAACAGATTGCAAACGCCTTCAACCAATTCGTCAATCCCATCGCGTTGGCTGCAATCACCTGGAAATATTATGCCGTCTATATTGCCGTCGATTGTGTATATGTGGTTCTCATCTATTTGTATTTTCCAGAAACAAAACAACTCACCATTGAGGAGGTGTCTCTAATCTTTGATTATGACATGAAGGAAGGGAGGCAGTTGGCAATAGCCGCATTCGAAGCTCGGATGGGTGGGGATCAATGGTCTGACCAGACCAAGGACGGCGAGAATGGTGCCTCTAATCATGTTGAGTTTCAGCAAAACGCGTTCAACAACAAGGTTGTAGATTGATCGCAGCCTAAAGCAAGACTGTTTGCTGGTTGGGAACACTAGTTAAATCAAGAATACTTGGCCTCTGCGGGTAAAGCTTAGTGGATAAATGAAAAGGCAGAAAATACATGAACACAACCTATTTCTTTTGGCCCGAATATAGTTTCTGTGAGTTCGAGGTGTGTTTTCCGAATATTTGACGAGCTTCCCCGTTCACCAAAGCGAATCATATCTGCGGTTTCGTTTCATCTCCATTGTCCATCTCCGACCGTGCACCAAAGCTTGAACTGTGTTTCAATGACACGACCGGTGTCAAAAAGAAAAGATGGTCTACATCTTCGAAAGAGAGTGCGAATAAACAGACTAAATACAATAGGCCTTCTCTTTTGCGCCACCCGGCACATTTGTGCCGCATCAATCAAACACTTTATCGACTCAGACTCTGGGCACCATCGACATCAAAGTAGATCTAAAATCAATATCTTGCTTGTTGTTACACTGGCACTAATGCACCCAATTACTGTATGGATTATCGACGTAACCGCGATAGTTCCAAGTCAAAGTGACATTATGATACTCAGAGCCCACCTCCCTCGCATGGCATCTGAAGATAGGCTTTCTTCACGTTTCGTACTTCCGCTCATTTTTTCCAAGGAGATGGTATTTGAGGGATCTATTTTGTTGAATAGCCTCGCGATAATCGCGAAAAGATACGTATGAGCCGTCAGATCTTGCTGCTGCTGGAGTGCTTGATATCAAAGACCCGACTCTTGACTCTCCTATAACTGATCAGTCGTCTTGAATAGCACAAAAGGAGAGATTAAATGATCTCAATCGAGCATAAAAGACCATTTCCGTCCTGTGCAATCATTTTATCCACGAACACGGGAAAAGGGTATGAAGCTTACTTGGCACTTGACCAGCTGGCACGGCGTGCTGAGCAGCCCGCATGACATGGAATGCAAGTCGTGGTTTCGACATTAAGAGACGAATATTCAAATTGATTCCGAAATATTTGATTGATTTTATGATAAGGCGAAGCCAGTTGGAGTATGGTCGTTCTGTAAGTGCGTTGCTATGTGCAATCATAGAGGTCGAGCCGACCATCGTGCTACATCCACTTGTACACGAGGACAGCACGGTGAATATCATTTGATGACAATTTGTACACTATATGAATGACTGGGGCCGAGGCAAACCATATCTGGAGAGCAATTAACCGCCCGGTAAAATCTATCTTGTGACCCCCTCAAATTGCCAACGCAGTAGCCTGCTTAGACGTTTTCCCGGCGCCTGCCGATTTAGTTCCTCCGGTAGCTTTGTCTGTTAAACCTGCGCATTGTTGCAACGTGACGGAGGATCTTACAAAGGATCTGACATCTCTTTGAAGATCTTCTCGCTGAGTGATGTAATTTCTGCGGAACATCAGGCAATTCTCCGCAAAAAAGGTACTTCCGGATCGCCACAGACGCATCACTCGTTGCTCCATACCAGAAAGCTACAAGAACTAATCGCAAAATATTTTATTAATATAAATCACCACGGATGATAATACACAGAGAATTCAGACACTTGAGACAGATTTTCAAACTATTATCAAACTTTCGGGCACTTAAATCAAATCGAGTATTCAAGCCTATCATTACAATGTCAAGCAACGTCGAAACCACGCAAACTGTACTGGCCGAATCAATCCCTACATTGAAGCTTGTAGGGGGCTCTAGTGATGATGTAAGCATGCTAATTCACTATCAGATGAAGCCAAGATGCCACAATATGCGCATGGTAGACTAAGAACAGCTTACGTAGGTTCCTCAATGGATAAATGAGCTTCGGACTCGCGGTTGGACTGTAGTTCCAAAGGCCATTCCAAAAGAGAGGGCTCTCCATTATGCCAATGAAGCATACAACTGGTTGGAGAGCTGGAACCAGGGCTACAGCCGTCATGATTCATCCACTCGAACAGCAAAACACTTGCCGTATACTCACCGCGCGGGTATCTTTGCGAGGTAACTCTTGCTATCCTACTTTAGTAACGGGCTAATAACCAATTGGAGTAACTAATACGTATCACAGGTATGGCATTGCACACGAACAATTTGTTTGGGATCTGAAGTCGGAGCCTGGGCTGGTGGAGAAGTTTGAGCAAATTTGGGGCACGAAGGAGCTTTTGGTTTCCTATGGTGAGTGAATCTGATCCATACAAGACCAATCATGGAGCGATCATTAACACTATCTTGAAGATGGCCTGAACCTGTCTGTTCCAGAAAATGGCCGACCAAAGACGGACCCAGCATTTGCGCCATGGGCACACGTTGACCAGTCGCCTTTGAGAAGCAACCTCCAGTGCATCCAGGGCATTTTGAATCTTCTCCCCAACGGCCCGGAAGATGGGGGCCTGATGGTTTTTGATGGTTCCAACAGGCTCTACGAAGAGCTCTGGGAGCATTTTGACCACAAGAAAGGTGAAAAGGGTTGGAATACGTGGGAACAGCAATTTCTCGACGAAGAGATGTGTGCATGGCTTGAATCAAAAGGCTGCAAATGGGTCAAAGTCTGCGCTGGACCCGGCGACCTCCTCCTCTGGGATTCAAGATGTGTGCACTATGGTGCCACGCCGTCGTCAACCAATGACCGCTTTGCTGCATGTAAGAGATCCCCTATTCGGTGCGTATGCACATGGGTCGCGGTTTTGTGAGCTAAGATTGCCGTTACAGATGTTTGCTACAAGCCAACAGCTCTGGTTTCCGACCAAGCCAAAAAACAGAGGGAGGAAGCGTGGGCGCTGAAAGAAAACACCCCCCACGATCCTGCCATTCTCCGCAGGCTACAGCGAGACCCACCAGAGGACCACCCTACATATGAGCAATACAAAGCCCGCGGACTACAAGAGCCTGTACTTTCCAAGCGTGGCAAGCAGCTTGCCGGTCTTGCGCCATACTAGACAGTGTTGGCGGCTTTTGCGGCAGAGCATGGAATAGACCATGCCATTATTTCATAGGGTACACGATCAAGAAGTGATACTGTATAACATAAACCAGAAAGCAGTCAATTTGGAATATTTTTTGCCTCGAAAGCAATTTTCGCATGAATGTAACCATTGTTCATCTGAATAAAGAGTCATGCATATGTGTTCTGAGCATTTGCAACAGGTCCAATCACCCGGTCTCCCGTAAATCAGCTTGTTCTGTTCATTCGAAAACAGTGTTGTCGTCAATCAGTGCATGTGGTATTGTGTGGACTAGACATAAAGAACGGGACTATATGCAACATTATGAATTTTGCCGTACCTCTCTAGGTGACAGAAGTCTTAATAAACCGCTTTTAATCTAGCAGTAAGGACTCATGAATGAACCATTTCATCAAGCAGCCTACAAGTTTTACTGTCATGCTTGACTTGGAAGTCTACCTATGATTCTCACTGAATTCGGGCGGCTAAATCACTCTTTCGTCTCTTGTATTCAAGCGTTCTAGTATATTCCGTTTAGATTTTGTCTCTGTCCAAGATTTTTATCAAGCGCAATGTAGTTCCTTCTTCCATCCAGTGCCCGAAAGCAGACTGTGCAGCGGCGAGTACCGTATCTCGGACCTCAAAACCTCAAACCTCCTGATTTTTGATTATAACCTTTAATTCTTTCCCACTGGCCACCGCTTCAAAGGCATCTTTCGCTCGCGAGAGTGGAATTATGGCCGTGATGAGCGGACGGAGATCAACGACGCCACGGGCTAGCATGTCAATGGCGGACGGAAAACAGGAGGCGGTATAACGTGTAATTCCTAGAGCGCAGAAGTTGATGTTAGCATGGAGTGTCTCTATTATCAAGCCAACTACATTGAACTTGGCCCATTTACCTCTAATGTCCAACTCCTTATTTGTTACCGCAATTGTAGGAAACACATGGGTCTGAACGTGGCCCAGTCCAACTTGGAGATCTATTGTAAACATAATCATCAGCTGGTGAACTCATTTCCCGCTATTCTGGGGCTCTTTGGATCAGGTGTGGTAGACGTTTCTTACAGATGCCACCCTGCTTGCAAATCGCGACGCCATGGAGCATGGCGTCCTCAGCACCACTGGCTTCGATGACCCTGTCGACACCGCCCTCGGTATTGAAGCCGCACTGTTCAATGATATCAAGCATACGTTGCCGCGCACACTCCCATCTTCTGTCTCCTTCTGTTTGTGCATGGTCTCCACCATTCGCTTCGCTATCCCCTAATGTTGCATCGTTACTCTCAACATGAAAGCCGTTGGTCTTGGTCGGCGGAGGTGCGCTCGGGATGGGATCAATATGAAAGACGTGGTCGATGATCGGTTTTCCTGTGAGTGGCGAAATGTACTTCTTCGCAAAGTCGACTCGCGAAGGGCTGATATCAAATGCCACGATCTTGCGTGCGGAATACGCATGCCCAACAGCGGCAGTGATCAGGCCGATAGGACCACAGCCACTACAAGGTAAGCAAGTCGATAAATATAAGAGAACCGACAGGATTTGGAGAACTCACAAAATTGCGAGGGTCTGATGGGCGGCCAAGTCTGCACGTTTGCCAATTTGAACACCAATCTAGATATGTGACGGGACATTCACTCCATACACTTATAGTTCTCAAGGGGATCTTTAAATTAGACTAGTTAAGCTCCATAGGAGCTCCTGGATAGGTATATAGATACGACCTACCCTTTATTTTATTTATATAAAATTAGATTATTTTTAATTATTTATTTATGCCTATATACCGCTTTTATTAGGTGATATCGAAACCTTAGATTATAAGCTCCTTTAATTGTTATAATTATAAGCCCGGTATATACGTAGCTAAGCTATTATTAAATTTTCCGCATATTTATATTATTTAGTGGGATGCTAGCGGAACCTAATTTTTAAAATTTAATTTTTAAGATTCCGACTAATATTTTAACCTTAATTTTTAAAATTAAAGCATTAGAAACCCCGTTTTTTTATAGAAAATGTTATCCTACGCGAGCTTCGATATTTAAAGCTATACGGTTAAAATTAAGCTTATTTATTAAAAAAACTGGGTAGCTTGGTTTTTATAATACCGGTTTTTTTCGGAATAAGACATTATTTAAGATTATACTAATCCTAAATCGACGAAATTATGGCTATAGGCTAGATAGCCCTTTTTAATGGAAATTTACAAATTTAAGCTTTAATATTAGTTCGAAAACGACCTAATTTAGCAGATTTCCGATTAGAATAAAAAAGATTTAAATATTAAAGGAAATAAATTTATTTTTTCCGAGCTTTTTTACTAAAAAAAGTTTTTCGAGGGATATTTTTTAGAATTTAAAACTTTAGCGTTTAACTTTAAAAAAGAATTTGTTATTTAATAATATATTAATAAGCTTAAAAAATAAGTATAAGATTTTATAAATATTAAGCTTTAGATTATTATATTTATAAAAGCTTTAAATTAAAATAACTATATTATTCGGAATTTTTGTTATATATTTTAAAATTTAATAGCTTTAACCGAAAAGGATTTATTAAAGTAGGTTTTTAAAAAATATAAAAACGTATTTATTAAAGTTAATCGAGTTTAAAACCTTATTATTTAGTGTTCTAAGGTATGATTGGTGGATCATAAACTTAGGCACAGGGAAGCGTTCATATGATTCGTAGAATCAGGCCGTGGAGGGTAGTTATAGGACTGTATAACTAATTTATTAAAGCTTAAGGAAAGAATAACTAATTACGGAGGAATAACTACCTTTTATACCCATAAAATCAACTAATAAGAACATTCTAAAGTATATTACTAATAAACTAGATTTATAATCAAGTTAATTAATAATAAGGTTAATTTATAATCGAAAAAACCATCGAAATCTATAGATTTCTATAGTATGGGTTACCTTATAACCTAGGGCCACTATGGCCAGGTGCACTAGCCACACTTAGTAGGGCTGGATCCAGTGGAACGTTCCACTGGATTCCAGTGGGTTCCAGTGGCCATAGTGGCCACAACAGTCAACTGTAATAACTTGTTGACTATACAGCACTGTGAACAGTGGCTATAAGTGGTGCTATACTAACTGTAGGTCAGTACAGGGTAAGTTCCACTGATTTCCTATATATCGTTATTTAACGATATCTCGATGGGTTTTATAGCTGTTATAACGATATAATATGCGTTATAAAGCTAATTTTATGCATTATACGATGCTATATTAACATCCGTGCAATAATAAGGTAATTTTAATTATAATTCGGAATTAATTTTTAATACGCTTTTTAGCGTTTTTATAGTTATAAAAGGCAAACGTATAACCGATTATACGGGGATCCTTAGCCCAGAAAGTTAATTAGTAGTTTTCGAAAAATAAAAAAGGGGATATTTATAAAGCAATATAATTATAATTATTATTAAAGCAGCGCTTATAATAGTTTTTATTTTTAACGGTATAATATAGCCTATTAAAACGGCCTTTTATAGCGTTTTTTAAATAACGAAAGCAGGGCTTTTAAGGTTCGCTAATAATACGCTTAAAAGGTTTTTTGGACGAGGAAGGAGGATTAGGAGTGCTTTTTAAAAAAGTCGGCTTTTTTATATTACGGTAAAAGGGATTTTAAGCTAAAGTTAAAAGTTTATTACGGCAAAATTAATAAAAAGATTTAGGGATAAAAGTGTTGTTTTTAGTACGAATTAGAAGATTATCGGTTTTAATAAATTTAAAAACCTAAAATCGATAATAAAAGCGGCGGTTAAAATAAAAAGGGTTTTTAGGCTTATTAAAGCTAATAGCTTAAAATTTGCGAGCCTAATTAGCTTTACGATTTCGGTTAGCCTGCTTAATAAGAAAAAAATAACGGCTAAAAAGCTTATTAATATTAGTAAAAGATTTATTAAAACTTTTAAAATTAAAAACGCCAATTAAATTAATGCTAGCTATTAAAATATTTCGAAAAGCTTTAAATAGCTTTTTTTTAAAGGATTAGCCCTAAATTTAAAATTAGTTTTAAGCTTAGAATTAGGACTGCTAAATTTAAGGTTAATTTTAAGATTAGGTTTTAATTCGAAAAAAAAGATTCGAAAGGTTAATAGGAGTTGCGCCCGGTATATTTTATACTTATATTTGCTCCGCCGAAGCTTATTAAGTTTAAAGATTTAGGTTAGGCGGGAATTTGTAAATAGGAAAGATTATAAGATTTTTAGGACGACGAAATTAGGGGGGAATAAAAATAAAACTAATAAATAATAGCTCGTTAAAAGGATTAAATTTAAAAGGTAAAGGCTGCTAAAAAAAAGCTTTGCTATTATTATTTCGGCTGGTTTTAGCTTTAGCGAGTTTAAAGGTAATTTAGGAACGACGATTAACAGTTTTATATTTAATAAAATAGTAAAATTAGTTATCGGAACGGCGAAAAATAATTAAAAATAAGCGGACGGAGCTTTTAAAGCTTTTATTACGCTTAAAAAAGGAGCGTTTATTTTTAAATATAGTAACGGCAAATTTTAAAAGCTTAATAACGATAGTAAATTTAAGGATAAAAAAAAGAAAAAAAAGGAGTTTAAAGTTAATAAAGCTTAAAAAGCTAAATTGAATAAATCCGGAGGAATTTAAAAAAATAGATATATAATAAAAAAAAAATAAAGCTCGGTATATAAAAAGGAAATCTTCCTTTTATAAAAGGGAAAAACCTATGGTTAGGATTTATTAATTAGAAAATTAATTATTAATTTTAAAGCAAAAAATAAATTAATAATAGATTTTTACGGATTAAGAAATCTAAGATCGGACGGAATAGGCAGTAGTTATTAATTTTAAAAAGGTAATTATTAATTTTAAAATTAGTTATTTTTTAAAAAGTTAGCTACGGGATCGTTTAAAGCCGAAAGAAAAGAGTTTACGGAGCTTAAAAAAGGTGGGATAAACGGACGTTAACAGAAACCAGGTTTTTGGTTAAATAATTATTTAATCGCCTAAAAAGAAATTGGAAACCGAAATTGGATATTAAAAATTAAGAATATATATCCTGAATATATAATTTTTAAGCTTTTTTGGGACGCTGGATTAGCTTAGGGGGTATATAATAGGATATTTACTTTATATATTTACAGTTTTTAAAGGGATTTTTAAATTAAATTAATTAAGCTTTATAAGAGCTTTTAGATAGGTATATAAATACGACCTACCCTTTATTTTATTTATACAAAATTAAACTATTTTTAATTATTTATTTATGCCTATATACCGCTCCTATTAGGTAATATCGAAACCCTAGATTATAAGCTCCTCTGACTATTATAAGATAATATTTAGCAGCGAGAGGAGAATAGCCGATCTGTTAAGATAAGCCTACCGCAAGTGGCTGTATACTGCCAGCCACGTCCTAATCAACACATTTGGGTATATGAGGGGCCATGTCTGCAGGTAGAGCAAAGAATCTTGGTCATTGTTAATGCCGAAAGGCGCGTTACACCTAGATAAAGCGTGGGCCAAACTCACCTTGACAGTGATCCATGGGTACCAGGCGCGCCACAGTATCGCATTGACAAACATATATTGCTTCGACCGTTCTTGCAGTTTGTACATCGCCTGCAAGGGAGACCAGGTTCGACTGTCAAAGACGTGAGCATCTGCGCTATGATCATGGTTCTGCTTGTCCCTCTTTGCTCGCACGCGCAACAAAAGCTTCCAGAGTGGAATATTCGAAAGGACAACCACCTACTTGCAACCCTGTCACCAGGTTTGTGTGTGGTTACTTGGTCGCCTACAGCAATAACCTCTCCAGCGGCCTCGTGGCCCATGACAGTAGGCTCTACTATGGGGCGACCGCCAACACCCCCAGCCAAGTAGGCGTGCATATCGGAGCCACAAATGCCATTGGAAATAACCTTGACAAGCACACCGTCAGGCTGAAGTGTGGGCAGCGCAATGGGCTCTATGAGGATGATACGTGTCTTGACGAGTAGGCAGGAAGTGTTTGGCGGAAGGCCAAGTGCCTTGACATGAGAAGGTTGCACATGGGTACTACTAGGAGACATGGCTGTTAGTTCTCAAAAAATGACCGTCGGTACAATAGATGTGAGTGGCTATGTCGGGATATTGAACGATATTTGTTGGCAGCCATGCTATTTCACAGGAATGCATGGACAGTAATAAATCATTTTGGCATCAAGCAAAAAGCGTCTGTCTCGTCGCAGGTCCCACAGCTTGCCAGCAATATCGATGCATGACCGCTCAATCATCTACAACCGAATACTGATCACCAAAGCAGGCTGCTAGCCACGTCGGTGTGAATCTATGGTGACCTGACCTGTTAATTGATGGACCTAGTCGGGTGAATCTAGATAGTGCAAATAACTGTATCACGCGGTACAATACACATAGTTCAGGCCAAGGGTCACAATAAGTGGAGACGTGTATTTGCCCGGCGGCACAAAAGAAGCCCAGTCTCAAGCCAAGTCTTGAACTTTATCAGTTTCAACCGTCTTCTCCATCCCCGCTACCACACTGATCGACTAACAGGCAATCAACAATCATGACTTCACGTAGGGATCAGGATGAAGGCCAAGATACAGCACCTAACTCGGCAGAGACACACGTGCTTAACAAGCGAAAGCGCAATGGCGTGAGTCACCCCACGAGCCTGGTCCTGAGCGCATACGAACATGCCTACCGGTGAATCTAACGAGTCGTTCTTAGCGAGCCTGCGATCGGTGTCACCGATTAGCTTGTAGAGTGAGTGAGCCCCGGGGACGAGCCCACCCAGGAAGAAACGGTCTTTTCTGTGGAGCAGAACACAGACCGTGGTGCGGCACGGCTAATACCTGGGCTGGGTTTCTAGTGTTCGCCAGGCATAGAAGGCGTTGAGTGTAGCCGTTGCGAGGAAATGGCAGTTCCATGCACATATGAGCGGCCGGCCAAGAAGCGAGGGGTGAGCTGCCCCCTCCCCCAAGTGTCATGCCCGCGAGCACATCCTCGTTAGAAAAGCACCAACTCACAAGGTCCCAGCCGCCGCCTAGGAATCGCAGAGAATCAAATGCGACCGAGGTAGAATCACAACAACCGCAATCGCGAACTCAAGTCTTGGAACAGACTACTATTGCGTCGGGTGAAGATGATGGCGAACATCCGCCCGACCTGACCACAGCGTCTCAGGATGAACGCACGTCAGCCTTCACCCCTAGAAGCGGTGGCAGATCTGAAGAGATTTTGGGAGGAGACCAATGCTGCAATGACAACGCCGGCAATCAATCCACCAACAGTGGCCGGGTACCAACAGCTAGTGCCGAGTTCCCAGACGTGGTGCAGCCAGACGTCGTTGAGAAACTTGTTGAAGTCTTTCATCACACAGCATATCCCTTGCGTCCCTATTTCCACTGGCCCACATACCGTGCACAGGTCCGAACCCGACAGTATCGTACTGACTGGGGCCTTTTGGACTTTTACCATGGCAGTGTGTACCATGGCATCTGGGCGTCTATGTGACGGGGTCTTGATGCCAAGTTTGGGCGGAGAACCCCTGCGCCTACAGGCCAATAGCTTGTTTAATAAGTGCTACAATGCTTCCATCAAAGCCTTTCCTGTCGATATATTAACTGTACCTGACGCCTACCATGCGATGAAGGCCAAGGCCATTCTGGCCTCCGCGTGTCTACAAGACGGGGACTGGCGAAAAGCAGTTGTCCACCTAGGCGATTACGCGTCACTATCCGCTGTGACTGGATTCTGTCAAGAGTCGAATTGGCCTGTGGGTATCAACGAAATCCAAAGGCAAGAAAGGCGTAGAGTACATTGGGGCGTATACCAACAAGAACAATACCTGTCCAGCAGCTTTGGCTTCCCGTCCCGCCAGCGTGAAGCAGACGCTATAGTCAAGTACCCAGCAGAAGTGTCTGATGACGAAGATATCACCCAGACCAGTGTATGTTGCCAGCTGGATGAACTATCTTTCCTCGTAGGCTGGAACTTTTGCACCGACCTGTATCGCCTTCTTGAACGTTTGAGAGGAAGCGCGAAAGCGGCGCCTCAGATGCCCCGTATGGAACCAGGGAACAAGATTGAATCGCAGACCTTGAGAATGCTGCTTGTTGGTATCAACAAACCAAGCGTGCATCTTCGCTGCGCGATCGCGAGTGAACTGCTGGATGAATTGAGTAGCATACCAATGGCATTCTTCAACGCATCAAGCATTGTGTCGGTAGGTCTTTGATCGGCTCGTCACCGTTGACAAGCGCTGACCCGGTCCAGCTGCATCACTTGGCACGCATTGGACACATCCTCAGTGATATAACCAAAGATACCCTCCCGATTTGGACCTATCTTCAGGTCCGAAATATTTTAATAGTGCTAGCTGATCTTCTCGAAAAGATTGAGTCGGCACGATTGTCGAATGCTGGTACAGCTTTAAAATTGCGGGCGGAAATTGATCGCATTGGAAACTGTATAAAGCAGGCGTCTCAAAATGACCAACAACAAACATCACAGCTTTCAATGAGCCAAAGCTTACTCACAGACTGGAGGAACGCATCTACGGGATCACCTGCAACAGAGTCGACAGATCGTACCAATGTAAGTCTCATGTTTCCCTGCAGCCAGTCGGCGGGCTCCTGGGCCTGGCGGTCTGAGAATGTGTATTGCAGTCTAACGAGATACACCCAAAAGCAGATGACGCGGTCCCCTGGCCCTCCCAATGGAAGCTCTAGGACGGCCATGCAAGTGTCTTCTCAGTATGCAGATCACGCGCGCGATTGGCCTCCAGGTGAAAGCATACTGGTTGGGCACGGTTTGGATTCCATGAGAGAAATTCAACGTCATACTAGTGTCCCAACCACGTTCAATCCTCTCATGATACCTCCAAACCATCAGGGCTACGGTGCCATCAGCATGTCCCAGCCTGGGACCATGCAGGAGCAGCAAGATATGCAATTTGATGCAGCTCATGGTCAGAGGCTGGGGGTGGACAATCTATTGTCGGGAGATTTCTTCTTTTCTCAATGGCCATATCTGGCAAGCTAACCCGGTGCAACCGAGATAACGAGAATATTAGAGATTTACGTACATGCATCAATGCGACGCCAAACTTGTGGTATTCGAGCAAAGATGATGGAACAGCTGGTAGCCAAGATTCAAAAGCTGCCTACCTTGAGCAAAGTGTACGGCAAAAAGAAACTGTAACAATATCTCTGGGCATACCCCCATTACCTGCCTCAATAATGCCACAACATGTTTCAAGAGTAAAGAAATGTGGGTAAAGAGAGGTGGAAAAGTACATACAATAGGTTATACTTGAACATCTTGCATTTCAATACATAACCAGGCGTACAATACTGATTGCCGACCATAGAAAGAACGGCTTTGTGGCTTGAAATTTATGACATGATAAATTATTTACCGTTTATGATCCAACCGATCAAGGCTAATATTAACAAGCGGCCCAGCAGCGTGAATACAGTTTAGCCGGCTCGCTCAGTCACAATAAACGTATTAAAACGACACAATATGATCAGCGTTGACTACACAGTCGGTACTGATACAATTTTCAAAACAATCCGAGCCTGGATATATGGGAAGATAATGCATTCACCTCGTACTGTGTTTCGCCGGACCAGACATTTGTTCAGGTCTCAAGAGCTGGCTCATCGATATTTCGGCTCTACATCCCACTTTCACTATCAGCGGTTCCGCCCGTCAACGCTACGAAGCACGCATCAGAAAACCGCTGTCCCCCTTTCAATAGTATTGGCTGGAATTGTGTGTACAAAATGATCAAATACCAAAGTTACTCCAGCTGACAGTTTGTCATAGGTTTTCTCTCTATCACAGACTCAGAATGCCTCGTCAATTCTCACCTTGGTTGGTGACGAAGATACTTGCGAAGCCTCGGGCCCTTGTAGCGGCCCCACGGGACTGATCCCGTACAGCGAGGTCCAGAAGCACAATTCAGCGGACGACTGTTGGGTCGTTATTAAAGTATTGAATCCCAAGCAATTACTGCAATATATGTTCTAATTCCGATAAAGGGATCTGTCTATAATATGACAAATTTTATTAAAGCGCACCCCGGAGGCGAACAAGCCATTACTACACTGGCTGGATCAGACGTTACGTGGGTACTCCGACATGAAATCCTGAATGGAGCTCTGACGGCTTTCTTTGGATCGCAAGTGAGGTTTTCTCCATGATTCATCCACCGACTACATTAGATACACTTCCGTTTGAGATGTTCATGGGTGCAGTAGACCCTGCCACTCTTCCGGAACCCAAGGATCAAATCCCAACAGAAGATGAGCTCCAGAGAGCAGCCGCCCGCAAGAGCATGCCTGAAGCACACGCCTTTCATCTCCTACAAGACTTTGAATTCTGGGCGGAGCGGGTTTTGACCAATACTGCTTGGGCTTATTACCGAAGCGCCGCCGATGAGGAACACAGTACGTATTTGGCATGGGCTTCTCAATCTTGCCAGAGGATTCGCAAGACCAGTTGATTGACAAGGGGAAAAATAGCATATCATGAAAACCGTGAAGCTTTTCGGCGGTATTACTTTCGTCCCCGGCTCCTCCGCGACACCAGCAATGGAACCACAACAACAACCTTCCTCGAGATACCGACGACGCTGCCCATTTTCATTTCGCCCGCTGCCATGGCAAAGCTTGGCCATCCATTGGGTGAAATCAATTTAACAAGGGCTGCTGGAAACGCTGGGATTATTCAAGTCGTAGGTCTTGGTACTCTGTATCCTGGAATATGGGGCTCAACTGGCTATAGATATCTTCAAACGCCAGCTGTAGTTTGGAAGAAATGTTCGACGCACGGCAGGTACACCAGCAGTTGGTATTTCAGGTAGGCCATGTGATATACGACCAAGAATACATGAACCTAACATATTCTAGCTTTACTTGAACAAGGATCGCTCAGCTTCCAGATCACTTCTTGAGAAAGTTGAAAGACTTGGTGCCAAAGCCATCATGTTCACAGTTGATGTATGCTGGGAATCAAAGAGGACAAAAGATGTGCAAACCAAGCTGAGCTCGAGCGGAAGTCGGAATGCAAACAATGTCCAGGCCCAAGGGGTCGCGCAAGCAATCGGAGGGTATCAAGATCGCAATCTGACGTGGAAGGACATTGACTTTATTCGTGTAAGCTGCGCTCACAATTCATTGATTCATCTGGCCAGTAAGGTAGGAGATTATACTAATGTCGCGTTATTTAACAGAGCGTCACCAAAATACCAATCATTGTCAAAGGGATCCAGTCACTTGAAGATGTTGAGCTCTGTGTAGCTCATGGTGCTCAAGGGGTTGTTCTTGTAAGTCCACAGATCACGAAAAACTTCAGAATGTTGTCTGAGTTGACTCAACAATTGACACTGAGCCAACGTGCTCCAGTCCAATCATGGTGGACGCCAGGCAGACTATGCGCCAGCCCCCATCGATATCTTGTACGAAATACGAACATATCGTCCCGATTTGTTTTCAAAGATACATATCATGATAGACGGCGGTGTTCGTTCCGGGGCAGACGTGGTCAAGGCTCTGGCATTGGGCGCCAAAGCTGTGGGCATTGGGAGGCCATTCTTATATGCCAATGGCACTCATGGAGAAGAAGGCTGCAATCGTGTTATAGAAAGTCAGTTGCTTCAACTCCCCCAATGAGTTTGTTGGAAGACCATTATTGCCTAACATTCATCTTCTAGTTCTTCGCGAAGAGATCACAAATACCATGCGCAATATTGGGGTGACCAATATAAAGGAGCTCACGCCTGAGCTCGTTGGCCCTGCTGGCCCCTGGGTGGGTGTCAACAGACCTTTGTACGCTCAAGACGTGGCAGGATAAGTGGCTGCATTGCAGAAGGCTCATGTCAGTGTGCCAAAGAAGATCAACCAATACGGCCCGGCGCTCACTGTATGAACTTGTTCTTGTAAAGCGTATGGTCCTAACGAGGGAACGGGCCAGAACACGCGGCCATTAGGTGCGGGCGCTCTATTATTACTGTAATATCGATACCCTGGAATACCAATCTTTCTGGGTCCCGTTCGATACACCACTGCCATGTATTGGTTCTTGAGAAATGTTGACAAACTGCAAGTGAAAAGTTTATTGTTCTATCGTACTTGTGATTGCGGGCGCCGGTAGTAAGCCTGACTGATTTTCGTGTGAGACGCCATGTCTTTTGGTATCGTCGTCAATTCGAAAATGAATGTTGTGCAGTTGCACGCTTCCTGCGCGAAAGAAAAGATACCTACCTACATACCTACCTAGGCAAAGTAATGGCCTGAACCTGGTGTGGACAACATTCATGTATTGCACAGCACGTTCTTATTTCCCCTCCATTCCAGACGACTTTCATCCCTGGGGACTTTGCAGATGATCCTTGCCCGGTGGCGAATGATTAATCAACAACGTCGACAGTCAACCTCGAGGTTAAATAGATGAATTGTCTCTCCCGTGAATAGTGAGCACATCAGCTCCAACCACACTACTCCGCACATGAGTTCTAGTTACGCCGAGACTTGCTGGGGGTTAAAATTCAAGCGGCGGTTACCGAAGCAAAGCGTAGCCGTGGAATTATCCTCCATCTCAGAGGTCATGGGGACCTTTCCCCCCCCCAGCAGGCACAAGGTTTATGTACCTTCAACCATACAATACTAGCCGAACGAGACCCTACGAGCATAAGCGGCCTCCACCTTTATGGGCTCGGCCTTTGGGATCTACAGAGACGCAGATCTTTGACTACGCATGTGCACTCCTGTGTAATCTGTACATTGTACTGCACTGATAATGTACCTGACAAAGGTGCAATATGCCGTATAAAACAAAAACATAGTCCTCGGCGGTTACAATGTCCGCTCAGATCTTCTAGAGAGTCATCACATGTGCCTCGCTCCGATTGAAGCAACCTTTGCCGCAAACATCATGCCAGCGTGTGCAACAGAATATAGACACACGAGACGATGGCACTACTTGGGCGCTTGGAGAAAGGCCGGTAAAGTCTAGATTCTCAGCGGGGTAAAGCCAGGATAAAGAGAGACCTTCTCCAACAGAACCAGGCGGTTGGTTCGCTTCTCTTTCATCCGTTTTCAATTTTCGTTCCATTTTCCCATGGTTGGCTTTGTCATTGCTTTCCCTGTGCCCAATTCGTGGGAAGCGAAATCATCATACGGACAATATTGTCGAACCATTGTCACATCTTGAGCGGATCACCAAGCGGATACACCATGCATGCGATCAGCTATTACCCCTCATGTGCGGTGCAGTTTAATCAGTGAAGAAAAACAAAACTAAACATACGACCCTACTCCAACAGGCTACTACGTACTTGTTCCCCAGCAGTGGCCCCGCTGCACTGGGCCCGACGGCGTCCCAGGAAAGGGTCCTATTTCCTCACATAGCACAACATCGTGTGCCCCGTTTTGTCGCAAATCAAGAGTCGATTTTTTTTCCCTCTTTCCTCTTCCTCGTGATAGTGCATCAAACTACCTGCTCATGATATCTCTGAGAAATAACCTCCTCAAGGAATATGTGTTTTGTTGAGAAACCTCGATCCAATTTTGACCCAACACCAGAGGCTCTGTGGCCACGATAATTCCAGCTCTCTGTCGCGTCTTCGGACAACCGAGGTTCAGAGCTAGGGAACAACGCGGCGCCTGGACCCGATTATCCCCTACCAGAGACAAGTCGATTCCCCATTAAAAGAAATCTGACTCTAGAGCAAAGGCTTCTCAGCTCCTGTCCTTGTTTTTCCTTGGTTGTTACCTTCGCCGGTAATAGGCGAAGGCACTGTGCCTTTTGACTTGAGTTGGGGGAGTCAACATGCCTGACCAGGATGCGCCCTCGACTGCAGATGATGCGACGCCTACCACGCCTCCTCCAGCACCGATTCCTGCCGCCGACCCGAAGCTGATCGGACAGGCCCGCACGCCACCGCCGCTGCACCATGCCGGGCCTCTCCCATCATCCCAAGACCTTTTCAAAATATCTCCCATAGCCGCCTTGAGACTCCTAGCCTCCGGCACCGAGGCTCTTGTCCGTATGACGGGCGATATTCCGCCGACACCACCGCCATCGACACATACCGTCCCTCAGATGCGAGGATTCCAGCAGGAAAAGGCAGCCATTGCACGATCGCACTCGGAGAAGAGTCTCGCCAGACTTCGCGAACAGGAGGAAGAAAAAGAAAAGGCGGCAGCGGCAGAAGCAGCAGCGAGAGCTCATCACTCCTCCCGATCGGAGACACCCTCTTCTTCGTGCTATCAGCCAATTGATGGTGTTCACTTGCGGCATACACCAACTCCTGCACCTCCGCCAGGCTCTCCCGAGCCATATATCGTGATAGGAGAGAATTCACAACCTCTCAATCTCCAGCACAGTGCCATCACTCGAAAGTTTTACAGCAAAGCACCTCCACCCATCAGCATAGAAGAGTACCTGATGCGGATACATCGATGGTGTCCTATGAGCTCGGCCGTGTACTTGGCAACATCCTTTTATCTTTTCCGATTGGGCGTAGAAGAGAGGGCAATACCAGTAACGCGGAGGAATTGTCATAGACTTCTTCTCGCCGGGCTGCGGGTGGCAATGAAAGCTCTCGAAGATTTGAGCTACCCACATGCCAAATTTGCCAAAGTGGGCGGCGTGAGTGAGTTGGAACTCGCCAGGCTCGAGATTAGCTTTTGCTTCCTAGCAGGGTTTGAGCTTGTAGTTCGAGAGGAGCAGCTCAAATTGCACTGGGAGTCGCTCAAAGATGGTGCAAGCCTTGGCAATCTCGGAGATGGTGGAAGTGCGACTGAAGTTGGTAGAGTACCTGTGCTTAGATTGGAGCATAGGAGGAGATTGGACGCCGAGGTGAATGGCTGAAGAATCCCAGCTAACGCAAGATTTCACATTCACAAGTATACGCCATGGCGTGACAAAGTTTGTCTCCCATGCAGAGCATACAAGGGGTGGTGATGATGGCCATCAAAAACATTGTGGTGCAACTCGGAAAACCTGGTTGATGATGCATGGACCAGAGTGCTACAGTTTCCGAATTGCATTGAGCTGCCATTGGCTTTTGTAGTAATATCTACGTCCATGGAATATCAGCAGGATGTGTCAGCAATTCGACTCCAATACCATGGGCTATATATTATATAGTGTTGCTGAAGGATCTATGCAGCACGGAACACGGAGATTTCTAGGGGCGAGGGCCGGAGTATACATGCAGATATATCGTCAAAACTTACACAAATGGATGGAGGATGGATATAAGAATACATTGATGGATAATAAATTCAAAGTCTGGTTCAAATTATCGGTTGTGATACACCGAATTTGTCGATTACAGTGTTTAGAGGGGTATATGCAAAGTTCTATTTCCAATATTTTTGAAGATCTACAGGTGTTCCAGGGACTAGAGGCCGCCTCCAACAAGCTTGTGCAACTACCCCGCGCATCTCGGCGGGGAAGGTCGCAGCGGAGGGTCGCTAATAATTTGTAACCCGTTCTTTAACACCACTCGGTGCTTCGAACATCTTGGGCATTCGAAACTCCCCATGTCCCTCGCATATACTCGGCTCTGTAGGACAGTCTTACGGGCGACCACAACACCAAACATCAGCGGATCGACTCGCCGTATCCATTCTTTACTGTCCTCCCAACACCGACCTCTCACCTTCTCACCATTGTCGAAACCAGGTTCGATCCCAAGAGCTCTCTACTCTGTCCCACCAATGACGATCGACGTGGATACGGTGCTCAAGGGCAAATACCCTGCCAAAGCCCATGCCAAACGTGTTGTCGAGTACATTCGAACCCAAATACCGGACGCAAGCGGTGTCATTTACCTCGAAGGCCGATCAGATGCACTCCTCGAAGACTCGGACGAACCGGTGCCTTTTCGTCAGCGCCGAGCTTTCATGTACCTGTCTGGCGTCGACTTGCCTGACTGTTATTTGATCTACGACATTGCGAAAGAGCAACTGACCCTCTTTATTCCTCCCGTCGATCCAGAGTCTGTGATATGGGCCGGACTGCCACTGACGCCCGAGGAGGCTCTCGCCAAGTACGACGTGGACACAGTGCTACCCAGCACCGAGCTGAATGCCACCTTGGCCAAGCTAGGCAGCGAGAGGAAGGGCAAGGATAGCAGTGTGTTTGCCATTGCGGAACGCGTTGCGGATCACGTCACATTCCTCGAGTTTGACAGCAAGAACCTCACCATCTTGGGTGAAGCGATTGATGAGTGCCGCGTGATCAAGGACGAGTTCGAAATTGCCTTGATACGAAAAGCCAACATTGTTAGTGGTGCTGCGCACAAGGCCGTATTTGAGAGTGTAAAGAAGGCCAAGAACGAGTTTGAGCTTGAGGGCGTCTTTCTCGGCGAGTGCAACAAGTGGGGAGCCAAGAAGCAGGCATACCCGAGCATCGTTGCCAGTGGTAGAGCAGCCGCTACGCTACACTATGTCCACAATAATCGCGAACTTTACGTTGAAGGAGCGGCCAAGGATCTGTTGCTCGTAGATGCTGGCGCCGAATGGGATTGCTACAGTGCCGACATTGTACGTTTATTCACCTGGCGGTGCATGGATTCCGTTGCTAACCTATCGCACAGACAAGAACATTTCCAATCTCTGGCAAGTTTACGCAAAAGTCTCGAGCCATTTATGATATTGTCCTCAAGATGCAGCACGATTGTATCGCAATGCTGAAGGAGGGCGTATCCTGGGATGACGTTCATCTTCTTGCCCATAAAATCGCTATTGATGGACTTCTCTCGTTGGGTGTCTTGAAGGGAGACAAGGAGGATATACTCAAGGCACGAACCAGCGCAGCATTCTTGCCTCATGGATTGGGACATTACCTTGGAATGGATACGCACGACACCGGAGGCCACCCCAACTACTCTGACCCAGACCCCCTATTCCGGTACCTTCGCGTGAGAAGAAATCTACCGGCTGGAAGTGTCATTACCGTGGAGCCTGGCGTAAGTGCAACGGGAAGCTATTCTGAATACATGAGCTGACACGGACCAGATTTACTTTTGCGAGTTCATCATTCGACCGTACCTCAAGGATCCAAAGCATTCGCAGTTCATTGATGAAAAGGTTCTAGATGGATACTGGGATGTTGGTGGCGTTCGGTAAGTCTACGAGAGTTGTGCATAGAATAGATTCTTGCTGACGATTGAATAGCATCGAGGATAACATTTTGATTACCAAGGATGGATCTGTTAACTTGACGGATGTAGTGAAGGATCCTGTTGATTTGGAGAAGATTATTCAACAAAGCTGAATTGGGAGGGATGATCAAAGTCTTTGAGCTATCATTGGAGACTTGTAGAAGATACATTGCCACCAAATGCAATCGACCTATTCGAATGAAGTGCACATTAAGTATTGACTGTTTACACGTTCGGTAAAGGGTACGGAAGCGTGCCAGTATTGCACATTGTCAAAACCTGCCAGTCGACAGTTCCCAGTTTCGCCTTGTCATGGTCGCGGTTCTACTCCATAGCATGCGCAGCATGTTTTTGGGTGCAACGCCCATCCCGTCTACACACCTTGCTGCCAAACACTCTTCATATACGCAAAAACGCTGCCATCTGGCCAGCTGCCTGTCTGGATAGTCTGCGTCCTGGCATAGCTTGGTCTTTCCCGGTGCATAAACACATTGAGCTGTAATTGTCAAGGCCTCGTGTTCGCTGTAAGCATAGTATACTTTTCGTATTTTGCACATTTTGAAGTGCTTTTGAAAAGAAACAATGAGGACTTGGATTTGTTTTTTAACAAAATAAAATCTTGTTGGGGTTTGTTTTGGAAGCCGCCGGTGCTTCTCGGATTGTGCAACTTCAATTCCAGTGGGTGAGCAGGTTGTCTGTCTGATATAATGGTCCTGGGCTTTTTTTTTTCATTAGGAACATTCTTTGACAGAAGACAAGGCTTTTCTGATTACTCGCCATTGTGCAGAAGGGCAAGAATCATGTCCTCGTCTATACACGTGGCCATGCCAAAATTTGAGCAGAATTTGCAAAGTCCTTCGAACTAAACCATTGATACAAAATTTCGCCTCGGAAATGATTATAGTCACCATGCGATAGCGAGCGGTACCTATCGCTAGTTGCCGTTGAACCATATCCTTGACATATTAGCTGCATTTGAATGTCATCCATGGAGGTACCCTAGCAGCCTCGCTTCCGTGCCTACTAGGTTAGGTGGTATAGTACCTCAAGGTAGCTATGATGCGCGCTAGGGTGTGACGTAGGGTAATGCACAAGTGCCCCGCCTAACAATGCCGAGTCTCGAGAATATTTCATTGCCACGACCCAAATGAATGCTCCTGCTTTCCCTACTCGTAAACCGCTCTGAATTTTCCCTCTCTATGCGACAGATCGTGCTACCATTGTTACATCACCACGCTTCGTCTATGCGCATCATGTCAACACACAAGGACATTACAATCATTGGTGGAGGAATCATTGGCTGCAGCACAGCCTACTTCCTCACACGGCATCCTTCATACTGTCCCGACACTCATCGCATTACTCTGCTAGAGGCATCCTCTACGAATTCGGGTGGACGCACAGCTGATAGCATCACTGATCCCGCAACACTGGCCGATCCCAACACCCCGTGGAAGAGAAATCCAGCTCACGATGGTATCGCCGGCGGCGCCAGTGGGAAATCAGGCGGCCTTCTTGCGCTCTGGGCATTTCCGCAGAACATTGTTCCCTTGAGCTTTCAACTACACGACGAGCTGGCCAAAGAGCATGGAGGGAGCGAGAGATGGGGATACCGACGTTGCTTTGCCAGCCAGGTTGACTGTCGAGCACGCCTGCCGCCCGGCTTCAACTCAGAAGATGGCGCCCTTGCGGCCGAGGCTGTCGAAGGCGAGGCCTCGAAAGGGTTGCACAAGGACCACAAAAAGACGACACAAGCTCTCAAGAAAATGGGGGCTCCCGAGGATCTCGACTGGCTGGATACGGACCACGCACTGAGTGCATACGATAATATGGGGACACCTGACAACACGGCACAGGTACATCCAGAGTTGTTTACAAGGAGCAGTAAGTTCACCTAACCATGTATCACGTGTTGGTGGACAACAATTTCTCAAGAGCTCTGACATTAACTCAATCATGCAGTGGCCCAACTTGCAGAGGAAAAGGGAGTCAGAATCATCACTGGAGCAAGAGTGACCGGTATCAATAAATCTCCCAATGGCCAGGCGGTCGAAAATGTAGTATATGAGAAGGACGGGCAGTCGGTGACGCTGCCAACGTCAGATTGCGTTGTAGCGGCGGGTCCTTGGACATCCCGACTTCTTCCCCACGTCCCTGTTACAGCATCCCGAGCTCACAGCGTTGTCATTCAAACGCCTAGCCCAATTTCCGCCTATGCTCTCTTCACATCGATCATGCTTCCTTCTGGGTTCCCGACACCGACTCCACAAAAGGCACGAGGCTCCAAAGCTGCGCAAGGCCCGTTGAAGAGGACGCAAATGGTGGAGCCCGAGATATATGCTCGGCCAGATGGAACGGCATACGCGTGCGGCCCTACAGATCAGACTGTACCGCTTCCTTTGACCAATGCCGAGGTTCAGGTAGACGAAGCACGATGTGAGGATATTTTGCATCAGGTTGGGGGCATCAGTAATGAGCTAGGAAAAGACGGAAAAGTCCTTGCCAAGCAAGCTTGTTACCTACCCCAAGGTGGGCCATGGATCGGCGAGGTCGATGGAACTCAAGGATTGATAGTAGCAGCGGGTCATACGTGCTGGGGAATACAAAATGCTCCTGGTACTGGTAAACTTGTGAGTGAATTGGTTTTTGATGGTGTCACCAAAAGCGCCAAGCTGGGTGGCTGTGATCCATCTAGGGCATTCTGACCGGAGTAGACGGTTGAAATTTGGTCAGGCTGACACGGACAGAAGAGATACCATACGCAATTTAACAAGTATATATATTAAAAGATAGAGATATCTATCAAGGGTTATGAATAGAAGAGATAGAGTATATACTGTAAAAGTAGCCGCCAAGTGCTTCGGTCACTACCCAGGCTGTTATTTTGAAGCGGATAGAATCTAAAGTATTCGCTGTCGGTTGGTAACGTTTCTGACACAGTCCACGGTTCTCCTGGCATGTTCTTTGCCGAGTCGTAGGTCACATTGACTGGTATCGTGGTCCACTGTACTGTTGTGTTTCCCTCTCGGTACGTGCTCTTTTTTGAACCTGAACTTAGGTAATGATTGTCCACTGTCAAGGCCCCTGTCTGAATGTCCATGCCATTAATGGCTCGATCAAATATCGTCAATGCTGTCAGAGGTTGATAGAATGGAACCATGTGTCCACTTTCGTACACTCTTGTGAAGCTGAATCTTCCGGACTGCTTGACCTGCGCATGAACGACGTTGTCGAAAGTCTGCAGATCGCCATACCCGGCCTCGTCAAACTGGCCCGCCATCACTTCTTCTGCAACAGCCTCGACTCCGATCCAATTGCAGTCATAATCAGCGTCGCCAGCATAAATCGACACTGTAATGTTGCGATTGAGAAGAAATTGAATGTCTCGAATCGTGTCAACTTCCCGCGCATCATCCCCAGTCTCTCGAAATGTCTGATATACTGTATGACTAAAGGTGGAAAAGTTGGTGTAAGCCCCAATACCTTGCTGGACTTTGGCTGTATTTAGGTAGTCCACGTGGAATTGAGATGGAAAGGGATCGGGGGTGAGCTCCCGGATATCATAGACATCTCGGCTGACTGCTTGATGATACATGTCCTCGACATGCTCCATGCAAAAGTTGTCGGCCGCCACACACACCGAGTCAAGACCACTCAGCTTGCAGTGCTCCAGCTGGTCGAGGCAGTGGCCAGAACCATAGAGATTGTCGTAGAGAAGGGTTTCCATGGATCCATTGAAAGGAAAATAATCATATGTGTTGCCTGGGTTGACGGTAAAGTTGTAAAAGGCCTGGAACTGAATGGCCGGGTCAAACCACCCATTTCCAACAAGCAAGGTCTCCAGCTGCAGCTTATTTGAACCTGGCAAGTTCAAGTCGTTTTGTTGTTCAATGTATGCAGCAAACACTGGTCCAAAGTGTCCACCGTAACTCTCCGTGGCCATGTGCAGACCATTCTTTGAGTACTGCGGAAATACCCCCGTGAATCCTTGCAGAGTCTTCCAGAATGCTGGAGCTGCATTCAAAGTTGAGTTGGCTGTCATGCTAGGTTCCGGGTGCGAGTATGTGCCACATGTAGACTCTTCAGAGACGCCACCAGGGCAAGTGTTTTCTTGTAGAATCGTCAAGCGACCGTCGTCGTCATGAACTGGTACGGGCTGGCTGTAAGAAAATCCAACCTGACTTGGCTGGTCGACGAATAACATGTTACTCGAGTTTGTCCACGAATAGGGGTTGTTGACAACCGAGCCAAAGTAGTCGATACTACATGGTCCGAGTTCAGCAAAGAGGCCCGTCATTGAGCTGGAACCTGAGATGTATTAGCCAAAATTAATACAAGTAGAACTTCAAACCCACCTGGCCCTCCATTAATCCAGATGGTCAGCGGTGAGTCCTCTGGATGGCCATTGCGAGCCTCAAAGAACCACCAAAATATGTGTTGGTCCTCTGCAATATCTGCAAACCCCGAATAGCTTTTCACTCTGTGGTCCAATTCACAGATACCATCAGGCACCTGCTTGTACCGTACTGATACACCAGCATGACCGATCGCTTCCACGAGATCATCTGGGGGCGTTACAAACTGCGCATAGGTGATGGCTCCAAAGAGGAGTACCCGTAAAAGTGTTGACATGGCCGACGATGCATCTGCAGTCTGGTTATAAAAGTCGAAATCGGAAAACCGGCACAGAACAATGTCGTGAGCGAGCAATGCCAAGACATGGACTTTAGATAAATCGACAGCGACCTGCAAACCCCCCACGGGGACGTCTTGTTCTGACCCTTTGGGCATGTCACCTTGTATCCAGGGATTACTGGTTTGGGAGCTGGAACGACAGGGGGAGTTTCAGATGCCAAGACCACGCGTCCGCATGTGTCATTGTCCGGGGTCTGGCTCTGGTGCAATGGTTGGGGGATGGCGATGAAAGCTTGATTTGATCAAGTCTATTGCAGCTCATGGGACTTTTCTATTCTCATACCACACAATGTTCTCTTTATCTTTGAGGTTGGCGGAATACACTTGTCCATTGTCTTGTGCTTTGCCTTGGAAAGCCTTGCCGAATCATTGATCCGCTGTCGCAGACCCACCGGATAGCAGATCGTCCGATGAATGAACGTCTAGGCCCTGAGCTTAAATCTGAATGGCAAACCACGGGTTCACTGTACGCCAAGAATAGATCTTTTCCTAGGGGTGTTTCACGCGGACCATGTAGGCTCTAACCATCCCCATGGGATTCTCCGGAGCTTGCGTATCGCTGAAACCAATAGGTTTCGAGTTGGTTCAAGCGAGTATTCTTTTGTGAATCGAGCAACTGATCTTCATTGACTTTTTCATCCTTCATTTGTGCGTGACTTGATTCCGGTCTCACATGGCGTGATCGACCACGATTTGCTTGACTTGCTATCTGGTACTGCTGCGCTGCGGACATGGGGTATGTGGTAGTGAATGCACTCGAGTATTGCAAACCAGAATCAAGTCATGACTCGGAAATACAATTCTATTGACCCATCTTCTATCACAATCGCAGATAGTCTAGCTCAATTATCCAAGCCCAAAAACTTTCATCGTCACCTCTACAGAGTAAATCGAAACGACGGATGATAATCACCCATGTTCGCGACTTGATCGTCAGGAAGCGTTAGGCGATAATCCCGCCTGCCCGCAGACCGTTTCCGGTTTTCGATACAGAGCCCGACGAACATGGCCGTCGCAGACATTGCACCCAGCCAGAGCATACCCAGCGATACACCGTAGCCGGTCGGATATTGGGGTGCCTCGCTTGAGACAAACACATTTGTTCCAATTATTCCCGCGAGATTGCCAATTGTGACTTGGAAGCCAGAACTGAATGCGCGCTTCCACTGTCCAGACACATTGTTTGATAGCCAGGCAAGCGACATGGGTGTCGCCATATTGCCGCCCAGGGACACCAAAAACAAAGCCGCATATCTAATCTCTTGCGATAAGCTGTTTTGATGCAGTAACAGGCTGTACCCAACCGTTGCCACCAAACACCCAAACAGGAGGAAGCCATATCGGTGGCGACAGCGATCAGACAAGTACGCTGCCACGAGCATACAGATGGCAGAGACAGCGTAGACGGGTATGGTGCGAACTTGTGCCTCTGAAGCCTTCCACCCAAACTCATTCAGTATAGTAGGCATGAAAAAGGTTATCGCGTACCCGGTTGTGCCAATTCCCATGTATATGAGAGAGCCTAACCATATCTTCCAGTCCGTAAGTATGAGTTTGTATGCATACTTGTTGAGAGTGTCCATCCTTGCGCACTCGCTGCCGTCGTCTGTCAACCGGCGCTTCAGCAAGTGCTTTTCCTCTGCATTGAGAAACCGACATTGCTCTGGCCAATCAGCAATAAGGAAAGATGCGATTATGGCCGCAACAGCAGTGGCAGCACCTTCAATGATGAAGATCCATCGCCATGCCTGGTATCCACAAGACATGCTCAGTCGGGCAATAGCATACGCGAGTAACTATCTCGAGTCAGTATCTAAGCAAATCAGTTCCGAGGAAGGCTCTTACACCACCAAATGCACCACCCACCAAGGTCGAGCAGAACAGAAAGCTCATTCGCAACTGAAATTCATGTCTTTTGTAATACATGGAAGTGAGATAAATGATTCCGGGCAACACTCCAGCTTCTGTGGCCCCTAGAAGAAACCGAAGTGCGGCCAAAGCCTGATAGCTATGAGTGAAACCCATGCACATATTTATGATACCCCAGCTGAACATGAGGCCAGAGATATATAGAGGAGGTCTTGTCTTTCGTATAACCATATTGCTGGGAACCTCGAGCAGGATGTATGGGACAAAGTACACCTATCACTAGTTAGAAAGCTCAATCAGGCAATGGAGGCCTTACGAATAAGACAAAATTGAAACGGTTGCCACTGAGGTCAATGTCCTCATCGAGGCCTTGGATCCTTGCATTGCTGATATTGATCCTGTCGAGAAAAGACATCATGTAGATGATGAATAAAATTGGGAATACATCTGATGGGAAGGCGGTCAACGGTGTATTATGTACCAAAGGAGGTCTACTCACGGAGGTCAATTTTTCGAATCAATCGACGCTCTACTCTGGAGTCAATCATGTCGCTTGCAAGAGAATCTGATCCTTGTATAGATGAAGATGTCTCTTTGCTCGCTGTCGCGGAGCTCGTCATATACTGGATGACCGACATTTTGATTGATGCAATTGATTAGAAACGTGCTACAAGATTGTTGTCGATGCCATATAAACTCGATAGCCACGCGTGTAAAACTTGATGCGATCGCCGGGCGAGGGAAGTATCTAAAGTAATGATGCCGTGAAACTCGCCGTTGAACAAGAAATGGAGAGGACATCGCGGGACTTGTTAGCGACCGAGGTTCATTTATGCAGTGAGAAAATATTTTAAGACATTTGATATCGTACAGGCTTGTACAGTCTGACGCTGGATGAAAACACTTTCGGGATTGCCTATATGGTAGTATTCTTTGGCACTATAGGTCTTGGCCATGAGCGCGACAAATGTAGTCGCCAAAGGCAACGTTTACGACTGTTACCACATGGCTTCGGGACGAAGGTACCGTACAAATGGTACCGAGAGCATCATGGCTTTTGTGCACAGATGTACTTGTGCCATGCAATGCGAGCAACGAGCGTACTGCTCAGAGGAGAGGCTGCTGATGGAGAGAAAGGTGTGAGCGTAGGATGTGGGTGTACAAAGTATAGTTGAACCCATGTACCTACAGTGCTTGACCAAGACATGGTATGCAATGTGGCTCCGAAAATACACGGCAGGTTTCGTTCGAGCTTAAGACATGTCGGCTTCCTATTCAAGCCTGCAAGCTTTGTCGTTACAAGAAACCAAACAAAAAGGTCCATGATGGTAAATTCGTCGTTCTTGCGAGCTCAATGGCAGTCGTCCCAATTACCCGGGCGCCGGAACTAGGCATGAGCTTGTAGAGCCCAGCGCCCACTAACAGCCTTTCGGGGCTGTGTCGGCTTACAGCAGCGCTAAGAGATGCACTGTAGGCAAACCCGCGCAGGCAGAGAGATGCTACGAGTGTCCACGTCTACCCACCTGACATCCGTGATAGGCTTGCAAGACTTGGTCAAGGACAGCCGCCTGTATTGGAAAAGCAAAAGCATAAAGACTCAATCAAGAGCTAGATCAGCAATGAACGCCTTACCCCTTTGCTCTCAATAATAATTCCGTCGGCTCTTGTGGCTACGTTCGACCGAAAAACCTCGCGAGCAGTCGCACATGAACCCCACAAATTGATCTGCTTGCGCAACGTCCATGTTCATTTGATACCTACTACCTTTCTAGGTATTTGCAACTACATGCATATGCACTCCCGTCCCATCTTCCATGACTGGCCTCGACGATCGAGTCACATAGCCGGCGACAGGTTGTACAAGATCAGTGCGCATACGCTAGCAGGCTGATTGTTGATCGGATAGTTGCAGTTTTGATAGTCGGCCGTGAACAAACCTTGCCCAGGCGACCACGCTGGCTAATTCATGGCCTGCTGGGACTCGACAATGAGAGGGAATGCTGAGCATCTACTTGCTGCGGGAGGACTTTGGAGATCTGAGTAGCATGTGATGCATCAACTCCTATCAAATATTGTCTTCCTAGAAGGGAAAAAAAAAAAAAAACTGGTGTTGGTCACCCGCAAACGGTGCTGTCATGTTGTTCCATCCGCACCGTATGTGCTACCATTGTCCAACTCTTCATTTCGGTTCATCTCAGCGGAAAGGGCTCGAGTGTTTGCTTCCAGGGTCTTCAGCCCACAATGGGCAAATGCGAGATGGAGTTGAAATCGTATTGTGCTGACACGCGGATCTTCGAGATATCACTTATGTTAGGCCAAACAAGTCTGGATTCACGACCCTGAGAACTGCTATTCTAAAGAACACAACACATTTATTGACAAAGATATCATTCATTCAGTCAATACGGGCGGCTTGGACTATTATTACCTATGTACTGCACCATCAGTCCCAAATCGGTTGACGTTCTGGCAGTGGCGATACCTGTAGTTTGTACCTAACTGTCCAGTGGAATAATCAGCAACCACCACCCGGAAACTGGGAAAACAACTCCCACAGTTTTGAAACTTGGACCCTATCTAGGCTGGAAAGGGCCGAACCTGAGCTCTGAAAGTCCACAGATCAGTCTCTGCTCCATCTTTGGCAAATTGTATTTCAACGCCACCGTGAATCTGCCCACCAGCAGGTCTAGTCGTTGTTGTGCGCAAGTTTCACCATCACGAGATTCCTTTTCCCCCCTTGGGCCCTCGAGACTCTACCGGAGAGAAAAGTCTGGATGCACTAATCTGGGCATTTCCAGAAGACTCGTGCAAAACTCGATGACACGCTGAGAATTGGACCCCTTCGATCCAGATCAAGCCGACAGGATGATTGCCAGCGAGAGTTTTGGTGATGGCAAGTCAAACGCCGGCCTAATCTACATACCCTGTGGCATCTTCCTCGTCCTTTGTCCTCTACTGGTTGGCACTCGGTTGTGGTCGCGCATAAGAAAAGGCGGCCATCCTGGCGCCGACGACTACACCATCCTGGCATCATTGGTAGGTCTCACTCTAGCGGATCTTGCTCACATTCCACTAAGTCTCCAAAGGGTTTCTCTGTTGCGACGGGCATACTCATGTTTGTGGCATGCCACTACGGCTACGGACAACACGGCTCCATTCTCAAGCCGAACGACAAGGCTCAGGCTCTCAAGTACTTTGTCCTCACTCAAGTCTCCTACAAAGCATCCATCAACCTCACAAAGTCCTCGATACTTCTCCTGTACATGCGTATATTCGGCAAGATCAAGTGGTTCCGATGGGTTTGCACTTGTCTCATCATCACCATTGCCATGTACTGTGCTGCATCGCTCGTCGTAACGATATTCCAATGCCTGCCGGTCCAGCGTGCTTGGGACAAGGATATCAAGGGGACCTGTATCGACAATGGCAAGTTCTGGTATGCCAACGGAGGATTTTCAATCGCAACCGACCTCTTGATTCTTCTTTTGCCGATGCCTCTGGTCTATGCACTGCAGATCCCGCGCGTCCAGAAAGCGGCACTAATCCTTGTTTTTACTCTCGGGATTTTGTGAGTAACTCCATCATTACACGGCCAAACTCAGCTAATTGTCGGCATAGTGTGGTCATTACCTCATGCTTGAGACTCACCACCCTCAATCTACAAGCCCAAACCCCAGACCCGACTTTTGATATTGCCTCGACCATGTGGACTGTCATTGAGATGAATATGGCCATCCTGTGTGCGTGCCTACCCCAGATACGGCCGATTATTGTCAAGCTCTGCCCCAAGCTCATGGCAGCGTCCCATTCAAATGGACGCTCCGCCAGGCTCGCCTGCGACAACGACCTGCCAAAGTTGGCCAAGGGTAGCCCTCTAGGCAACGAAGAGAGCCGTTGGGCTCATGCCCAGGGCAAAGATGGCATCCACTTGACAAATATTCGAAAGGGTGACACAAGCTCGGAGGAATATATCCTTCAGGATGATAAGACCATTCACAAGACAGTGGGCTACAGTGTCGAGTTTTCCAAGAAACGATCCAAGGACACTCTCGATTCTTGTGTCTGAAAGGGGTGCGGAAAAGAATGATTCGCGATTCAAGATCGCAACACCGCAGGGACAAACTGCAACAACCCGCACGATTGGTAAGGCGTAACATGGAGGGGCACGTAAGATGGAGTTATGGATTACTTGGTTCAAATCACTTATTTGTACTATCTTGGTGGAGAATTATGTGAAGGTGTAGGCATGCAAAATAGTGCCATTTGCAGATTTCGCTGTCAGTTGCCACGGATCATGAAGGAACATGATATAGATCAATTCAATTATCTGAGCCATGTCAAACCCTGGCAATCTGCAATACTTGTGAGATGCGATCTGTTCAATCAACGTTTACTGCACTGTGAGATAGATTAATGCTTTTGATTGGACTCTGGGACCTTGTCATTTTTTTTCCCCCTTTTTTTTAAAAAAAAAAGAGAGAAAAGTAAATACATACTTTGTGGCGTCTACATCCACAGAGACTTTTACTACATTTACACCTGCCTTTAGATCTCCCTCCACATTGATGGCTTGTCAGAGGTTGGACAGGAATGAAGCCAAAGTCTGCACGAGGTGACAGCCCCGACACCAGGACATATACCCAGCTAGGTACTATACCAAGTTGCCGAAAGCGGTCAACGTGGATGATGCTCTCGATAATAAGCTGCAGAATGAACCGCGGCAGATAGATCTGGCACGCGACATGAGAAATTGACACTACACTTTGAGCTCTTTGTTGTCTCGGCGACTCTTGAGATGAAAATCATGTTGGACGTTGAGATCCGACTTTCGCACGTAAGATTTGTGGTGCTACCAAATGACGTCCTGTAGACCTGAGAGATCTCGAGCGACCCTGGCACGTGCTCTGATAGCCATCTTGGTAATCGTGTGCATTCTAGCGATGACAAACACATTGCACTTGGAGAACCCGCCAGAATCGACACCGCATAGTCAGGTCAGCACGTGCGTGCTTGCTGCAACGTACTAATCCAATCGCCGACTACGAAAACAGAAAAGATAGCCTACTATGCTGATTGACCTCCCAGCCACGTTTCGCAAGATTGGCGGATCTTTGCAAGTGCCCTTCAAGCCAGATGATGGTTGTCATGGCTGATATGAAAGCATAAACACACGCGCTGGTCGCACAAGCAGACGAGCATTGGGCCAGTCGATATTTACTACTACTTTTGAGCTTGGACATATCGCACTTGAAGAGACACACTGGCTGGCTGACTCGAGGTGGATTCTCACCGAACAATTGGTAGACAGCTGAGCTCGGCAACGTGGCCAATCAATGGACAGAAGACCCTTGAGGATCTAGATGTCAGCTTGACGGGGACCATGGGTGGGCTTCCAGAAGCCTTTCTTCCGCTGTCCCGAGCTAAAGATCTACTGATCCTGTCGATACGGATAGTTGAAAGGGCAAATAACGCACACGATTGGCCCAATTGACTCATCAATTCCAGGGATTTTGCTTTTAGTGGTTCTATTTTCAGTGTGCCGATTCAGCCCTATAGCCCCTGAGCATCCCCGCCGACTTTCCCTATCGGGGCACAATTGAGCAACTGTTGTAATTTTGGCTTGAGCATTACCTAGATAGTGCTCGTATCTTGTTTTGAAGCGTTCTCAACACTACAAGTCCATCACTTTTCTCGTATCATTGAATTGACCCATGCGCAATCGCTGGTGGCTCTGAAGCAATGCAGCATATCTGGGCCATGTTCACGGCAAAGTCCATACCCGAAACACATAGCCTATCAATCCTGACGTCAAACGGCTGACCAAAGTGGATAGAACACGTGGGAACGGCTTTGTTGCGCAAGTACCGAGCCATTTGAATTATTCTGAAAGCCAATTACCATGCCCAAATCACGAATGCTGTGATTCGAAGCCAATCCTACAGTATCTCCAAACTATGGCATGAATGGTGAATTGCAGTGCAGTGAATAAAGCCATGAATGAGCCACTAACGGGCCGACTCTCCATATGGAATGCCGTAAGATGCTGAGCTCTATTTCTGGGTTGAGGCCGTGCAATGATATCTTGGCCAACAGGGTATTCGGCAACCATTTTGTGGCTGGTATTGTGAAGCAGTCGCCTACGAGGCACGGATACGGATTCGTGTGGTCAACCATTTCACGAGTTGCTTGACAGAGGCTTCTTCTAAAGCAAATCCAACTCTCAGCGTCATCCAAGTCAGACCCAAGAATGAATTATAGGTAAATAATAGGCAATAACTTGTCACAAGTACCTGCGATCACATTATAAAGGAAGATATGCTTGCTCTGTCTACAAGATTAAAGACGGACGACAAACATCTGGTCCACAAGAAGCGGATAATACTTATTTCAGAAAACAATCGAATCAACGATATGCCACAGTTTCTATTCATCGAGTTGCCCAGCTTTCGCATACGAGATGCAGCTGGACGGACGGTAACGTTGAATCATAAGCAACTTGGTCTTATGATTGGCTTATACCATTATGTCCGAGCTGGCTTGCGCACCGCCGATGTTTCTGATATCTCGGCCTCCCTGCTCTTTTCAAACGGAGTGCCAGATGTATGGACCTCGTCAAACACACGAGGAGGACTACATGCCGAAGAAAACATGCTCTTGACATATTTTCAGTCTTTTGACTCCCCAGGCGCTTACCCCATCGTTGACGCCATGTTGCTGTCCCAGAAACCTTGCCAAAGTTGCATGGGATATTTCGAGGCAACTGGTAGCGGCAAACAGATCAAAGTTGGCAATGGTGTGCCTTCATTCAAGGCCAAGTTCACGCCTCGCTCGGACAGAAACTATACGCCTATTTTCTATCTGTCTCGCAGCATGGAAACGGCATTGCGGAACGACCTTTGGATGCAGCTCAGGTCCATGTGGGCTGCAGAATTCGCATCGACAATTGTGAGCTCTCCGGATGTTGTCAGAGGCCAGGCATATTTTATCATGGAAGGGAGTCCGTGGTACGCGGTGAATGACCAAGAGACAATGACAGATGCCGAGGTTGTGCAGGCGATTCAAACTCAGGGCGCCTCGTTGACATATTGGATCGGAAGGTAGACACTGGCAACGGTGTACTTGGACCGAAAGATGAGAATAGATAGAGGTCATCGCTGATGGCCATGTACAAGTAGATATCTGGGGTTTTAGACAAAAATGTAGACATGGGAATGTTTTATTCATTAATCATAACTCGCTGAATTCGATGATAGTTTATTCGGGCTTGAGGACAGCGCGGAAATGCACATCACCCTTGTCCAATCTGTCCATGGCATCCTTGATACCCGCCTCCGTCATGGGGAAGAGCTCAACAACAGGCTCAATCTTGTGAAGGGCGGCAAACTCGAGCATGTCGCGATGAATCTTTCGGGGAGCAACGACGGATCCTTGAATGGTGATGCCGTTGGCCAGCAACGGCATGTAGGGAACGCTAAAGTTGCCCTGGGCGACAGAAAGGGGGTGAATGGTTGCGCCGGGGGCCAGAATGGGCATGAGCAGGTCCCAGTCAGGCTGGGCGGAAGTGGTAACGAGGAGGCGGTCCAATCGGTGCGACACCTTGATCTCCTTTTGATCCTTGGTGGCAATGAACTCGTGGGCGCCGAGCTTCATGGCCTCGTCCTTCTTGCGGTCGGAACCCGAAAGTACGACAACGCGGCATCCCATCTTGGCGGCGAACTGAATGGCCAAGTGGCCCAGTCCTCCAACACCCATGATACCGACTGTCTCAATAGGTTGAGCATTGTAGGCTCTCAGCGCATTCCAAACAGTGGCACCACCACACTGCATCGGGGCAGCGGCCTCGTCGCTAAGGCCATCGGGGATCTTGAAGAGGTATGCCTCACGCCAGACGGCGTGGGAAGCAAATGATCCCTGGTCCAAGTCGGCACCGGCGTACATGGCGCGCTTGGGGCAGTACGTCTCCCAACCAGTCAGGCATTGGTTGCAGTGGCCGCAAGAGTCGTGTTCGTATCCCCAGCCGACGCGGTCGCCCTTCTGGAGGAATTTGACGTCGGGACCAAGCTCCTCAACAACACCGACACCTTCGTGTCCGAGGGCCATGTCTGTTGTTCGGTAGTGCAGGTCAGTTCCGCACAGACCGGAGGCGGTCACTCTGAGGAACACCTGATCGCCAGTGAGCTGGTCAGGCTTGGTGGTGGTCGCCTGCTTGGGGGCGCCATCCTTGGATCCCTTGTAAACTGTGAAAGAAGGCATTATGATATTAGGTACTTGGTATAAGCGCAAAGATTTACTGATGATGTATTGAAAATTGACCAAGTCGGAGGATAGAGCCAGGCATTATATACCTCGCCATTGCCCCAAGCAACACCACAGTCTTGCCAGCTTCCGGAGTCTCCTTACTCATGACGTTTTGATGGATTAAAAATCTGATTCAACATCCATGACCGATCCACAAGAGAATGCTATGGACGAGTGGATCATGGCGGTGCGGCTATCGTTCCGCATCTGAGCCCGCCGTTAATGCGACAGCCAGCTGCAGCCCAGAACCATGCAAGCCATGAGAAGACGAGAAAATCTGCTGGCGTCATAAAAGTGGTAGCGTAGGTATCTGTGGATCGCGATGGCTCTTGATTCTGCCGTGTTAATGCCAGCCAATTACCAGGGCATGCCATGACGAACTGGTTCCGTTCGAGATGATGGTGGATCTGTCAGGGTGCCAAGGTGCAAATTTGCTCCACCGGCGATAGGCGTTAGCAGTAGCGTTTCGACGAGATTCGAACAAGCTTCTGGATACCACCAACGATGCTCCACTCTCTAACGGTTATCTGTCCGGGAAACGGTCAACAAGGCCCATAGCTTTGTTGACAATCACCGAAAATCCAAAAGCCGATCAAATTTTCTTCTACATGGGCTTTGCATGATGAAGCCAGCTTGCCAGCTAGATGTGGCGAAGAGATCAGTAAGCTTATAATTGCTACTAATCACAAAAATAGTAACAGCAATCGTGATTTATCATTGACTTGCTCTGCTGAGGACTATACATGCACTTCGGTGAGCTGCATTTTATCCATGTCGGTGCCGAGGGCTTTCATCCGTATAGCCACTCGTCTTTGCGCTTCATCTTCATCGTCGTCTTCTATGAGATCACTCAAATCCTCCACGTCTCTAGCAAAGACGCATTCTCCTCCAAGTCGTATCTCTGATGCTTCGAGGGTTTCAGCAATATCCTTGACGAGAATATCCATTGGAGAAATGTAGGCAATTTGTTTCTTGTGGCTGAACGCGAGCACATGGCCGCACAAATGACCTCTGCGTCGATCAACCACCCAAGCGCCAGAGTCTCCGGGAATTCCAAGTGATACTCCAGGAATGGATCGAGTATTGACAGCCGAATTGCTCAGAGGGCCGAGTACAGGAACCGAGTCGGAAGCGGCCTTGCTGCTGACTTGATACGTGTGGCTCATGGAAGTACGGCCGTACAACTTGATGGATGCAATGGCAGGGAGAATCTTGCCCGTCTGAAGACCACTCGTACGCGCGCTGCATTGGACTTCCAATCCTGGCAGCTCTTCCAACGGTGCTACAATGGTTGGTTGAAAATGAACGGCTGGCGAAGTATCCTGTTGCTTCAGGCGGGGTACCTGATTAATAATGGGGAATCGGTCCTGCTGGAATTCAAAGAGAGCCCAGTCAATCTCATGGACATATCCATTCGACTCGTAACGGCGTCGGATGCCCGAACTCGCATGAACCTCACCAAGCCGATACGTGTCAAGATGATCCTCGTCCTCTGTCTCTTCCGAGGGGTAGAAACCCTTTTCCACATCGTCAAACGCAGGCTGTGTGATGATGTAGCCCTCGCCACAGCCGGGCTCGACTCCAGGAATATCGCCGTCCTCTTCAAACTCTTCATCCTCATCCTCGTCATCACTAGTCAAGTCAGTGGCAGAGAAGTCGGACTCGGCGTCGGAGAACTCGCATGCGTAGTCTTCACTGCCACTGGTGTCGTCTGAATCTTCAAAGGAATAGTCGTGGGCTGCGCTCCTCATGGGCGGATTGTTTGCTTGCATTTCATCTTGATCGTCAAGCATATGATGGACAGTCATGCCGTACGTTTTGTCATTGACGGTGATGAGCCCACCAAAGCTGACAGGTGGTAGGTGTCGGTCACCTATCCAAGCACCAATGCTTGCTCCATTTTGAGGTCTGACCTGGAAACCCGGATTGGCGGGCTCATCTTGGTCATTTTCACCAGTCTGCCCGATATCCTTTCGAGATCGAACAACAGATCCTCTGCAAACCTTGAGCGCGAAACCCGTTGGGCCATCAAACAAAGCTCCAAGCTTTTTCGTTATGATACTGCGGACTTTGGCGACAGAGGTGCAAACAACAAGTACGGTTGGCATAGTCTTTTGAGGGGACTCGCCGATTGATTCCAAGGTGATTTCAATCGACTCGGGGTGCTTGCGGCAGAAATGCCTCAATGCCATGTTGACCTGTGGCATGACAATGGTATTCCATTGCTCGACTGCGTCTGGAGGTAGGGGAATTTGTGGGTAAAGCCGTAGCTTTGGCGATGGGTTGACTTTCGAGTCTGTAAATCTTAGTACCGACCACTCGGCTAGAAGAGGAGTATGCGACTTACCAGTGCTTGGTGCCGAAGCAGAAACGACAGTGGGTCTCGGCACATCACGCCTTTCTTCATGAACAATTGGTGTAGTGGCTGCGGATCTTGGTTGTCGAATGTCCGTCGAAGGGCCAGCTAAAGACGACATGGAGATGGCAAGAGATGGTTGTCGTTCGCGCCCACCTGGATCCCCAACATCGCCGATCCGGTCATCTAGATCACTAACGCCATCAAGGATACTGCAAGCTTCGAGGTAGCGGCTGGCACGTATTTGGACTTGGCTCAAGATTTCGTCGCCAGATATCTGCCGTGAAAGCTCTTGCTCCACCGCATTCCAACACACTTGAACTGCTCTCATGTACAGCGTACCACATTGGACACCCAACTGGTCGAGAACCGACTCTGGTATGCTTGGTGAAGAAGTCAAGTTCTCCAGATTTGTCCACAAGCCGATCGAAACTAGAATCATTGCGAGAGAGTAGAGGTCCAGCGTCTTGGAGTCGCGGATGCTCACGAGCGGAGAGTCAGTAGTTGTCCTCGGATCAAGAGGATGCCGGTGAAGAGTGGCAGAGGTGGAAGAAATTTGAGGGCCTTCATCCGCGAAAAGATCAAACGATGAGATCAGAGGCTTCCGGACATCGGCTTCGTCGCCATTGGTAGAAAACAATATAGTCGTGTCCAAGAGATTTCCGTGGGTGACGCCACGAGCATGCATGTCAAAAACAGTATTCGCCAGGTTGTGAGCTAGTCGGAATCTTGCCTCCAATCGTGGAGCAGGTCTCGCGAGCAGATCTTCCAGAGTGCAAAGGTTGTCGACGAGATTGGATGCAAGGTTTTCGGACGGCATGGACTTGAAATTTGCAGGAAATTGGTATACAAGGCCCAGCCTCGAGTTCTCCATGTCTTCATAATAACCAAGGAGGAGCGGTAGGCCGATCCAAGCCCCTGGCGATCGATGAGACTCGCTTTGGAGACCATTGCTCAATTTTTCAAAACGAGACATTGATGGCATGATGCCCGTCGTGGAATAAATGGGATCAAATGCTGCGTATTCGAGGAGCAGAGGCGACCATTGCCGCCCGTTGTTTAAATCAGCATAGGCTTGTTTGGACATGACGGCAATCCTAGAAGTCATGGTCGTGAGTGTGCGCGGGTCAATTTGCTGTGGTGTCTGCATCCTGGTTGAGCTAAATGGCCTCAGCTCTTCTGTTGATTTGGCTGACCGTGCCGCACGAGCTGATGTTGCCGCAGATGATCTCGTGCGGGAAAGATCATGGAGTGTGTCGATGGAAGCTGTCAGGTCCTTGATGAGATCCTCAAATCGTCCCTTGTCCCAGACCACGATTGGAATCTTCTTGTCGCCCTCGGTTTCCTTTTCGTTCAATCGCCTCTTTGAACTCAACCACAGGGGCTCGGCCTCTGCTAGTATGTCCTTGATGGTAGACATGATGCTGCCGACGAGATCACTAAGGCCGGCCTTGGACAGAGACTCATCGATTTCCTTTTCATTTGACGGATCCGACCACTCGAGACCCCAGCTCACCAGTCGATCTTTTTGAATTTTCATTTTCCGATGCATCGCCTTGATCTCGGGGTCTTCCGACACGGACTCCTTGACAAAGTCTGAAGACTTTTTGGTATCATTATAAAGTCGGCTAAGCCTCCTCTGAAATGGCAGCTGGAAGCCGCCGAGGGGGAGAAAGGACTCCATGGCGACTTTTGAGTTTGGTATATCAACGCGACTTGAGATTTTCCAGATGTGTCGAGTGTTTGTAGATACCTATATGCTCCAGTGATGATGTTGTGGAGTAGACATTGGAGGCTTGATTGATGATATTACGAGACAGAATGCAGACAACAGACGTGGAATTCAATCAGTAGCCGAGTAGAAGGGAATATGGTCGCCTTCTGTCAAAAGGTTGCCTATTCCGGAACAATCATGTCGGTCATATGGACTGTAATTTGCGTATAACCCAAACAAAACTGCTGCCTGAATGAGCTGACCATTGAGCTGTCGCTCGCTATTCTGATGCCTGGAGAGGCATGCGAGAAGACCGAGATGCACGGACCAGATGGGCGGGGCGGCATGGCTCCCATCGGAGTTCGGCCGACGGAGATACTTTCTGCCTTGGTCATCATCAAATGTGCCTCCAGCTGGGTGTACCGCAAACAAGATGATGAACCAGGCTAAACTTTTGAAAATACAGAGTACCTTGATACTTTTCGGTACTGGGATCCCCTACCGGATTGCACCAATCTCGTGCCATTTCTGCTCTGATGGGAGCTTGCTTTCCGTTTTCCTCTAGTGTGTGCTAGTATTTTGTTATTTCTGCGACCGCCGCATGCTGAACCTAGGCGCAGCAGACAACTCATAGAAAGCGTGAAATGGCCACAACGACAATTCATTCGCATCACAGTCACGCGTCCAGGGGCTTGATAGAAGCCGCAGTGAACTTCAAGAGCACCCGTCGCTGAATCATACGCCCATATTTGAGCATCGCAAATAGATTCAAGCCAGCTATGGAGGCTGTCGGCCAGCTACCTAACCTAGTAGGTACCGTAGTAGCGTTCCATCAATGCGCGCCTTTCTAGGTCCTCCAGCGCAAAATGCGCTAAAAGTACCGGGTTCCCCCAGAGCCCTGAATGCCCGCATTTAGGTAAATGGCAAAGTTAAATGAGTGTAGCTCAAGTAGTAGCCGTTCGTTTTCAAGAGACCCCAATTTTGTCAGATCAGTAGGTAGGTAAATATCAGCCCAGAGTCTACAAATATCTGCACACATACATTCAGATGACACTGATCGATTGTATTTCATGTACAGAAGTAACTTCTCCTACAACCCATCTATCGACTATTCTCCTCCCACGGCTCGCCAGTGCAGTTGAAACCTACTGGATCGATAACACTGTCGCACAAGTAATTGACTGGTGCAGTTCCATTCACTGTATCAATGATGTCGATTCCTGTAATCTCGACACCTGTACAATTTGCTGCAGCACTGCATTGCAAGTCGGCAACGACATCACTTGTACAGTCACCTGTCCAATCTCGAAGCTTGAGGTTGCGGATCTGGAATTCTGAAGTGTCGCAATCTCCACTTGCATCATTATAATGCGTGCACTGAGTCAAGGCAAAGATGCCGGTGGCATTGTTCAGGGTGAAATTGGAAAAGTCCATGTTGGCTGCGTATCCGAGACCGCCGCCGCCGCCATTGGGAGGATATCCACTGGGTACACCAGTCCACGTCTTGATGTAGGCGCCGTACCGCATGTTGTTGATTTCAATATTGCGAGCCGTGACATTCTCAATATACTCAAAAGTGTCTCTGTACTGGCCAATGGACCCGATCGCAACTCCCAGGCCCGTGTAAAAGCGGCAGTCTTCAATTAGAATATTGGTGCTGTTGGCCTTCATGGAGATGCTGTCGTCGCCATTGTCAACGGTCCATCCGCGAAAGGTTATGTTGTCTGCATAAACAGTGTCGGCTCCGTCCGTGTTGAGGGAAGAAAATCCGAACCCAACTGCTTGTTTCGTGTCGGTGCTGTTGACATAGATGGACTCGAGAAGAATGTTGGTGCTATGGATGATTGTCATTGTCCACATTTGAGACTGGACGAAGCGCAGACCGCTGAAGTAGCTATCATGCGTTCCAGTAATTGTGATTTGATGAGGTCGACCGGGATCTATATAGTCAGCTTGATGAACTGCATCGATGGAAATTCTCACATACAATTATTTGTGCCATTGACAAAGTCATACCAAACTTGACCATTGCCGTCTAGTGTTCCAACATCATGGCCAACCCAGTTGATATTGTCTCCTCCAAAGAGCCAAGCACTCGACTGGTTTTGGTATCCAACCGGCAGCGAGTTGTTCAGCCAGTAGTCAATGTTTTGGTCCCAAAGAAGAGTACCAGGGAGATCAATGTCGACATTGCTGAGACCAGTCGTGTTCATGACACTCTTGATATGATATGTCTCATTTTTGAAGATGACTTTGCCGCGCTTGGATACATCGTTATGGCCACAGCGCTTGAACGCATCAATGATAGCCGGCGCCGAGTCTGTCCCATTTGCGCTTGGTTCAACCACGCAAATGCCTGGCTGAGTGCATACAGCAGCAACGGCAGGGAGCAAGACTGCAGCAAGTTGTCGCAACATGGTGAATGACGAGGAATGAGAATTTCTTTGGCCTGGAATCCCATCTTTTCTGCTGCACCAAGTCTGTCTTATATACTCTGGTTGCAGCCCCAGAAGGGCTCATGCTTGACCTGCACCCCACGGGAATAAGCCCAGTGATATCATTCACGACAGTGGATCGTGGAGTAGTGCGCCTGGGGAACGCTAACCATGTCGATCACTCCACTGGAGCTTGTTGAGGATAAGCATTAACGCTGAAAAGTCGCTCAGGTACCGACTTGTTTATTCATTTTTCCCAAAATCAATGCCGCTCAAGATATTTGAACGAACCGTAGCGTATCTATTTTCGAGGATCCAAATATTCACCACATGATCTGTGCGATATAGAGTCTGCCTTGAGCAACTGTTGCCAATTGCAGCGTCAGAAAGCAACTTTGCATGAGGATTGTATAAAGAATTGATTCGTCTCGTGGGATCCAATGGACAATGGCGATCTCAAGCACAAGCAGTAAGTAATTGCGAACTTTTCCCGAAAACAGCCGATGATGCCTCCGCTTTCCAATGCTAAATAGTCAAAAGTCTAGGATCTAGTCAGAATAACTTGGATAGACTGCATCTTGAGTCGCGTCTCGAGGCATTCGCGGGGGTTAGGTGGAGATGTGGCCCACAACTATTGTCGCTATTCAATTATACCGACATGCAGTTTGGCTTTGCGAATGTCGGGCAGACTCGGTCCCAGAAACGTAATATAAGCAAGTGATTGTTATTTTCAACAAAGATGGCAAATGTGACATGTGTCTTACTCAAGGTGCCTCACACACCTGCGCCATGGATCGTCCTACCCGTCTATCAACTCCAACCGTTCCAGTATTCCGGTGGCCATGGGCGATGCGCGATGTGGCAGATATTCTCTCTGAACCTTGACTCTGAATGTCCAATGGTGTCAATGTGTCAAAATCCAGTGATGGAAAGCCCGACTTAAACCAGAGGACTTGCGCTGGCAACCTTTAATTGCGGGAGTGCACCAAATTCTGCCGTCTCTTTATACATCTCGTGTAGACTTTCCAGAGTGTCAACAAACCCTGTGAATCCCATAATCCTAGTTTTGTTGATGGACAAATTGGCTCTCCTGGCATAATCAAACTCGGAAATCAGAGTCTTCATGGCTGGGTCCTCAAACACATTGACCTTGACCTGGCCATCCGAATTTGCCATGATCTCCTCCCAAGCAGCCTTGTTTTCCGGCTGTTGAAACCAGTCGGCCAATCGAAAGGTTGTTTTGAGAAGACTGGGTGGTCCATATCCCAAAGGCGCCTTTTCCCCTCCTGCAAATCTTTGGACAGTAAAGCTCGAGTCTTCCAGATCAGGGGTTTGTACACCCCTGTCCACTCCGTACCAGAGCGCAAGCTGTGCAAAGAAGCGGTCCCAAGTAAAAAGACTTCCATCTTGCGCGTTGAAAGCATGGTTCTTGCAGTGTTCCTCTAGCACTGCCCATTCCGTCAAGTATGCCGTCAGCCGGGCAGTTGAGTGGGAATACTCAAACTGCCAGGACTCAAAGTCTCCACCAAATTGGAGAGGTTGCTTTTTCTGAGCTTGAACAGCAGCATAAATGGCAAACGGATAGAATGCATTCAAAGGCGCGCGCTGTGCTACACCAATAATACCAACAGGTCGGATAAAATTCCAACCCGTTTCTGGATGCTTCTTGCAATACTCAATGAGCAGGTCCTCTTGGTGATAGTAGAAGTTTGGCTGTAGGTGCCGTGGCTGCGGGTCGGATTCAACAAGAGGTGAGCGCGTGCGTCCAATATGTAGTCCATAATTCTTTCCTCCCGTCTGCAAAGCAATTCGCTTGGGTTTGAGAGCAGCCAACTCGAGTCCTTGAAGAAAGTTGCTGAATATGGGCACATTGAGTTCAACAAGTGCTTGCGCCATCTCGACGCTCATGCCCGAGGCCTTGGGATCCGTGGGTTGAAGATAAGAGTAAAAGAATACATAATCCGCCTGTACCTTGGCTTCTCGTAGTACATTCGCAATGTCTTGACCAGACGAGGACAGATCAATAGAGACCTGCTTGATATGCGAGTGTAGTTCAGTCGGGATAAGTGACATTTGCTCCTCTGACAGCGAGCTTCGCGACAAAGTGTAAATGCGGGTCCATCGCTCCGGTGCATCAAGAAGTGCACGCAAGGTTGCGAATCCAGATATGCCGTTTGCACCACAAATGATGGCACTCAGACCTTGGATGGACGGATCGAAATCGGGAAGATTGTGGTAGATGCCACATTGGCGGAGTGGGTAACTTGCTGAGCTCTTCATTGTCGATTGGTTAGTCTGTGAGACGTGAAAGTTTCTACAAACAAGTTTCGACCACTTGTCAGAAACGGGACTCACTACATATAGACTTTTAGTGAAACTACAAGATCATGTCCACGGAATATACATTTGCAAAGAGAGGGATAATTCTCATGTCGCATTGCTAGGTAGCATTTGAAAGTGGGTAACTCTAAACGTCGTCCATGCGCTATCAACGTCATTCATTATTAATTTAAAGCGCGAAATCTCGCGACCCGAATTATACGGCTCCATAGTCTCGCTGTTTCATCTCGGATTTAAGCGGTCGGCAGTTGATGTTTGCATATTTGCGGAAAACTTTTTCGATATCAACAATATGTTTCCCAGCAATCAACGAAAAAGATGCCGTGCGAGACATTTGGACTGCAGTTCAGCTATTTTACAGAGAATACTAAACAGTTACCGGGCAAGCATATTTTGTGTCATTTATCGAAAAGTAGTCATTGATTTCAGAGTTCTGGAGCTCAGGAGCTGTTTGTTCTCATTCAGGTGTTGTCAGCTTTATAATCTGCGCAGTGTCAGCTTAAAAAAAAAAAAAAAAACATTGCGACTCAAAGCATTCAGTGGACTGCAATACAAGTTGATTCCATAGAACTTGAGTCATGAACTGAGTCTTTTTCACTCTGTGCAAATAGCATTTGTCATTGGGAAACTTGGCGGTGACGAATGCCATGGTATTCAGCGATAGTGCAAACGGTGGACACTGGGATGAACCCCCACTATATAACCAACAGGGAGCCTCACGGCTGCTCCCGCATTGCAACATGTGGGGGCCATCCAAGTCCAGTAAGGTCGGCTAGACAGCAAACTATACATTAAGGTAATCATTTCAAAATACTTCTATTGACACAGCCTCCAGCCACGGTCCTTGCGCTGCCCAACAGCAAGAGTATTGTCGCGATTCAGCAAGCCTGGCATGATTCCTGAAGCCGGCGGCCAATGCATGCATATGTGCTTGGCAGAATTTCCAGATACCTAGCGGAGAAGAAATGCATGTGTGGATTTGACTGCGCACACTTTGTGAACAGCATCCTGGTATTGTACCATACCAATTGGTGCGCCATCACCCAGCGTAGCGCAAAGACAGGCCGATGTCCACCCACACAGATGATAATATGCACACGCCAACCCAATTGGTGCAGGGTCGTCTTTCAACGGATGCATGGTATTTTGAAAACCACTATTTATCAAGCCAATGAGGTCTAGAGCAGGAGTACAAACTGCGGGCATGAATCTATCCGCCATTAGTGCCCTCGTGGCCATGTCATTGCAATCCGCCCGAGTCATCCCTCATGTCGCATCTCTCATGTCAATTCATTACATGGCATCCTCGATCCTCTCATCCTGGGCCTTGCTATCCCGTTCATTTCCCATTGCTCATGTCAGTTCAAAACAAAGCATCCCCAACCTCCCCCTTCTTGACCTTGCCCTCCCTTTTCAATCTCTCATGGCTCATATCGATTCACGGCATAACATCCTCAGGCTCTTCGCCAATGCCCTCTCCCTCCTCCTCCTTGACCACACCCTCCCATCCCTTGTCATCATCAAAGTCCTCGTCTTCCAGGACAATCCGAGGCATCGAAGGGGAGGTCATGTAATCGCGGGCCATGATGCCGAGTCGCGCGCGAATCTCCATCAAGAGTCGACCGAGAAGGTTTTGACCCCATGTATCATTCTTGTACTTGCCAGCGTTCCAGGAGTATCCAATTCCCTATATTGCATCGTACGGAGCAGCCTCGACAATAATGGTGTCGCCTGTAGCAAGAAGACAGGCCATGAAGTGAAAGTTTCTGCGATCGCAAAACTTGAGTATATTTGTCTTGCGGACAATGTCGAGACGATGCTTGCGCCAAACCTTCCAGTCGAAATTGGCGACTTCGCGACCGAGAAGTCGTGCAGCATTGGCGTCCTTGGCGTTGCGAATCTCCTCAGCTGTCTCGTCATCACCAAATAGCTTGGCCTTCTCATAGTGCATGCGATGCTCAGCCGTCTCCCACTCGACGAATGTGACATTGTTGCGCTTATCGACAAAATATTCCCTAAAAGGGATCTTTGCGTACTGGCTGAGATAGCCGTGGCTGCCGAGATGGTTGTAAAAGACGAGGCAGGTCTTCAGTTCGTCTTCGCTGAGGTCGGCACTCCATACGGGATACTTGCCAATGTCACGCTGGCCACAGCCCTCGTCTTTAGGTCGGCCAGATTGAGTCTCTGCTTTATGATAGACCTTGGCCTTCTTGTTCCGATGCTCTTGTGCAATACCCTGAGCCTGTCCCTTTACCTCGTCGGTTGCGGGACGCTTGGAGGCTTGACCTTTCGAAGGTTCCTCACCAGCGTCGTCGACAGTGTTGGACTTCTTCTCCTGAGTCTTCTTGGGGGTTGCGTTGGCCTGCTCTGTCTCTGGTTCATTAGGAGAAGCATCTTTGGCGACATTGGCTTCAGGATTCACGAGCTGATCTTGGGCCTCGTGGGCTTCATCATCACCATCATCATCATCATCAGAGATGATGATTGGGTCATCAGAGATGACTATTGGGCTGTGAATGCAGCTTCCTGGTTGGCTATGGCCCAAGAGGCCAATGCCGAGGTGTCGCTCGTTAGGCTGTATAGTTTAGCTGACGGATCTGTTCTTTTGGTTGAGGTAACTCACCATGCTGATTGACTTGCTGATTCAGGCCTTCATGTGCACCACCACTTCACACTAATTGGTTTCACAGGGAAGCACGTATTGTGAGGCAAACTATCGCTTGACCAAGTACGCTTAGTAAAGATCCCGCACCAATTGGTTTCACACGGAAGGACGTATTATGAGGCAAATTATCGCTTGCCCAAGTTCGTTTAGTAAGGATGCCGCACCAATTGGTTTGGGCAAAAGGCTCGACTTGAAGGGTTTGCCACAACTTCATGAAACAAACGATATGCAGAAAGAGGGAAAAAAAATATTCAATGGTTCCTGGAAAGTCACGCTTTATTTATACTTGAAAGAAAAAAAGAAGAACTTGCATTTTTTTCCTAAAATGGAAGCCCTTGACTTTGGGAGAACTTGCATTTTTTCCCCAAAATGGAAGCACCTGACTTTGGGAGCTTTGGGAGACATCAAGCTGCATATTTTTCTCAATTCAGTCTAGCGCGTCAATTATACTAATGCTATGGGTCTTTTACGAATATTGTAGTTTTAATCCTATTTCCCTGTTCCTTCTCGCTCCTCGTAACTTGTCAACGGGCATTATACGCGTGAAGCCACAAAGGGCTTTATATTACTGCCCAGAGGTCATTGGCAGCACCTGCTGCACTAGCCGGGATCCGCTAAGCGTCGAGGACGTACCCCGCCCAAAGGCACTTGAGCTCAAGTTACACCATCTCCAACTAAGAATCTCATACGAGTCCGCAACCTCTTCAGCCTGTTTAATCAAACGCAGCAAGTGTGCAATTGCAACTCTCCGACCCGAGAAACTTTGGCGAGGCTAATTATCTTGCCATATTGCGGTGGGTGCCATCGCAAGATTCAATTCTATGAAATTCAGAAATATCCAGACCTCATGACCTAGGCTTATACTCACGTGGTGCCGATTTCAAGCCCTGGGTGGCAGGAGTCAGGAAATCCACTATCGTGCCTTGTGCAGATGTCTCACCACTACATATAATATTAAGAACTTTTGCTCTTTTCATACTCCCGAGATCAGTGCCTAGCATAATGCGAAGGAATGTCGTCCCATCAATGGCCAAATACAATCGCATTTCACCTAGAAGACAACTCTTGCAACAATGCTGTTCATGACTTCCTGGGCCTTCCAAACACAGAAATCTATACATGTGCATGCAATGCAATTTGATAGGCGGAGTAAGTAGTTGCGGACAAACAGTATTTCGCTTCAGTTATTACACAAAAGCTGTCCCTGCAATCTCTCTCTGCCACGATGGTGATCAAGGCACACTGCTTCACAGGGCCGCCTCCAGCTGAAGAATTCCCAACACAACGGATTGCTGTCTGTCATATTGACATGAACTCTACCTAGGCATCTAACATGAAGGCCCTTGCAGATGACGCCATGAACAACCCCAATGAAAAATTCATCATGAAGTGGGCCAAGAACCGGTCCAAGATATCCAAGGCCAACAAGCAAAAGACCAAGGTGGTCATCAAGACAGTCTCGTGGATGGTCCTGAGGTTCTTGTCTTTTGAACGATTCAACGAGTTCAAGCTGATGAGGCTCACGGCTCCAAGAACTTTTTTTTCAAACACTTGCCGCATGGTCCGAATAATACCAAAAAAGGCATTCTATGGAATGTCGGCGACCCCAACCCTCAACTCGATTCAGGACATTGTCGGAATCGTCTCGATTTGCCGGTTTGTGGCATTAATGCCATTCAAATTGGACGATGCGATGATCCCTACCCAGGAGGGGGCGTTGCGGGCATGGGCTCCATTGGACAATCCCGAGGTCTAGGATGGTGTTGACGATGAGACCCAGGAGATGATCAAGGACTGGTCCGCGTCCAACGACTTCCGCCTATGGATGTTGGACATGAGGTTGGTGAACCTCATTAAGCCCGAACCAATAGATGTTGGCAGCTTCGTTTTCGAGGAGCTGAGCAGGATGCTCATTTCTCGTCGCACCATGGAGACTCCTCTCACTCTCCCTGATGGCAGGGTATGCTTCCCTGGTGCCAAGATCCCTCCTACGCAAACGATCACTCTGGAGGTAGGGCATACCGGCTCTGATCGGGGGGAAAGGGTCTCCATGCTGGTCGACTTTTCCCTGTCCAAACTGTGGAAGGTCACTGGTGAAGATAAAGAGGCCTTCCTGCCGGACCAGTCCGATGGCCCAAAGCCGCGGCCACCGCAGATCAAGCTCGACTATTCCATCGAGCGAATTCTCATGCTCATCTCCGCTGACACCAAGAATGCAGACCTCTTGGCAGTAGAGTACGAACTTGCCGCGTCCAAAACCGAGGATATGCAAGCTGCATTTGCCAACAAGCATGTCTCGCTGGCTACGCGATGGCCGACATTGGAGTCATTCACACGCCAATAGCGCAAGGAGCAAAAGGAGAAGAACATTGCGTTGGGTGTAAACCATATCACTCACCTCATTAAATATATTTTAAAACAAGAAATCTCGCATAAATTCGTAATATAGGTCACATTCTTATATCATCTTATACTTTAGGGGAAGACAATGAATAAAGATATAAACAAGATAAAAAAGAAATTGAAAGAGCAATGAAAGGGAGAAAAAGAGATTTAAAAAAAAGAAAGAGGAAAAGCAAAGAAGAGAGAAAAAAAATAAGAGAAAAAAAAAAGAAGAAAGAAAAAAAAAAGATAAGAAAGCGAAAAAAAGAGAAAGAGAAAAGTTTTAAAAAGAAAAGAAGGAGAAAAAAAGAATTTAGGAAACTTAAAAAAAAGAATTATTCCTCGATAAAAGGACTTTGGTAATCTGAATTCACTAATTGCTCGCCTTTTGTGTGAGCTTAAGCCGGGCGAGTACTTGGCAGAAATCCTCGGCTGCCTTGGTTACTTCCTTGACACCATTATCAAGGAGTGGTCGGAGGCAAAACGGGAGGACCGTATAGACTTCTCGGAGATTACTTGGGATAGCCTCAAGGAGTTCCTGAACAAGCAGGAGGTCACCGAAGATGAGGAAAAATACCTCGCAGCAACCGGCGACTCTGACATGCTGGTCAAAGTGCAGGAGAGAGAATCTGCCTTGAAGCGCGAAAAGCGCAAGGACAAAAAGGTCAAGACTGAAGACCGCAAGGGCAAAAGGCCCGTTTACAAGAGCGAGGAGACCGTCAATTCTGACGAGGACTACTCGTCAGATGACGAGGACAAGCTCGACCTGGGAAGCACGGAGCCCGAAGTTGTTGCCCCAGTCATCATGGCAGCTCTGAAGCATGTTCCTCGCCGCGGAGCGACTTCCAGCCAGCGAGCCCAGCACTTTGACAGGGCCATGGTGACGGTATCCAAGCGAGTCACCAGGCAACAGACCCAATCCAACAACGGTGAGCCGTCGACTCCCCACACGGCCATGGACTTGGATACCGACGACCTGTCGATATGGAAGGGCAGACAAATACATCACTGTCAATGAATGTGCCGGCAATCCGGGACAATCCTGTTGATTCTGTTCATCTAATGTGGAGATACCACGAATAAGAGGTTTCATGAAGCACCTTTGAGAATCGTGCTGCTGAGACTCACATGGGCTAATTTCAGAGTATGAAACGTCGCTTGAAGTATTCACGACCCCATTGAGCCGGATGAGCCGGAGAGACCAAACCCCATAAACTCTACCAACAATGTCGATAATGCCATTGACCTGGAGATTCCTTATGAAAACGATCAGGGATATATAGACGAAGCAACATTTGCGACCATGTTATCCGAAGTCGAGCATGGCGACCTTGACAGTCTGTTGAATCTGGAGGAGGGCCAGGCCATTACAGCCCTGGACATGAATATGCCGCTGATCGACAATACCGAGCTGAGTGCAGCCGGCATTGCAGCTTTCATCAGCCAAGAGGACCTGGCATCACTGGGTGTGCCAAATGGTCATCCGAATATGGACCCCTTCGTGTCAATGAATATGGCAAACGAGCAACCGCAGGGTGCACAAACCCAGAGTCCAGTCGAGGATACCAATCAAAATATGCAACCAGAATTGTTAAAAGGTATGTTCAATGTTCCTTAGATTAACCAGCAATTCTGCCCTACAAGGTCGGGGGGAAGGCTCCCACTATATACAGCCACAGTGTGGGTCGCACCCAGCCACCTTATTTCAACAAGAATTGTTACCTCCAGCACCGCCACAGCAGAGTCCAGAGGAGACAGACTACGGCCGCGAAGCGATCATCAAGGCAGTTGATCCTGTCAACCCACTGTGGAGAATCAGCGAATATGAACTGGCACGAAGTTCGTATAAGGAACGGGCCGAGACAATTGCCAGATCATACGCCACGGGTTGGCAGAATCCAGTAAAGATCCGCCCAGAATCGCGTTCTCTCGGACCTCGGTCCATATACAATCTTGTTCTAGACGCGTCTGGATCCGAAGAAAGCATATACCAGAAAGTGCTTAATGCAAAGGCAGATAATGCGGATGCAGATGACCTGGGATTTGAAATCCTGTTTTCGAGCCCAAAGGAATTAAAGAGTCTTTTGGCACAGGAGGATAACAGAGTGAAGCTCAGCAAAAATAACAATGTTTCGGCGGGAAAATACCAAGACATTTGGTATAATACCTATAAGGAGTACTTTGAAAACAATAGCAAGGCTCGCGATACTCTGATGGGGACGGATAAGCAGCCCTTGATTTATTGTGTACTAAACGATAAACTTTTGGGAGTTGGGTACGAGGTGCGCAGCAATGGTTCAAACCCAGACAAAATGGACAAATGGGGTCGCAATATCATTGGCAAAATCCTCATGTGTATCAGGGAGGACCTGGGACAGGCACGATAAATATGTATGGAGGCATGATTCATAAGAGTTTATGGTTTAACGAGATGGCAATGGTTTCAAAGATACCTATGGGAAATCGAACATAAGGCATAAGTAGTCAGTATAGTTATATTCAAATGTCGCACAACCTGGCGTGCAGCAACCCGCGGGCACCGGGCGACCTCAGGTTTATACATCAATTAAGATCGGGACAGTGACGATAATCAAGTTCCTTTGGCCGCTTGCCAGGGCCGCTGAAGACCGACTGTTGCATCATCGCCGCCTGCTATATGCCAGGCAAGTAACTCCATATTTTCCAGCCAAATCATTTGCGAGCATTCCATGCTGTTCCAGACTCGACATGAGTGCATTACGGAATGCACTCGAGAAATCAGACAGAAGTATGGCGCTGCTTGCAATAAACTCTCTCCTGATACTTTGCTCGAAATTCTCGGTCGCTTCACTGACCCCTCCCAAGATTGCGATGTCTTCATCCTGAATGGAGCTGCTACATTTACGGGACTGAACATACACCCCTGCTACCATCGCGGCATAGTTGTTCAGTCTCCTAACAACCAGCAAACGCTAGAGCAAGTCCTTGGACGTTTGGAGCGGAAGGGATAGCTGTATCCAGTTCTCTGGAAAATCATTGTCTGCAAAGACTCATACGACCAGCCCCTGGAGCTCCGACGCCTGAAGAAGTATCTCCCACAGGCACGCGTTGATCACATGATTCCCGACTACATCACAAATGTTGATCTACGCAATCTGGCCGCCTGCGAAATCCTCAAGGTCAAGTGGGCACAGCCTTTCAATCGTTGGCCGTGGCTGAGCTATACATCAGCAAACATTGCTGAGTGGTCAACTAAGCGATACCAGGATTTCGCCGAAATCGTCTCGCTTATTGCACGGCTCCTTTGCGAGTTGAAGCCTGACTAATACGACGAAAAGTTCCTTAACCATCTGGGATATTTCCTGGCCGTCATTCCCCGGCGCCCCCTACCTAGGGGGCCGGTGGAGGCGGTGTAGGGATGCGGCCAATTAAAGGCGGGGGCGGCGCCGCACCTTACGGGCTTCCCTACGATTTTTAACGCCGTCGGCGTTTACGGGCGCGGTCCCTTATTTATTAATATAAAAGGCTGGCAGGCGACGATTATAACCAAATCCCGTCGTCGTCCCATCCGGCCTATCCCATCCCATCCAGCCTATCCATCCTCTACGGCTATCGCTATTTTTTTTTTTTTTTTTTTTTTTCGATTTTTATTCTAATCCCTCGGTAATCCAGCTAATTATAATACGCGCATTTATACGACCCCCCGGCCCTAATATTATATATATAGCCGGCTATATTTTATTAATATGCGTTATTATAATCCGGCTAATTAGCCTAATTGTATTTTATATATTTTTATTTATATTTTATAGCTATTTAATTAAAACCCGCGGAATACCTAGCCGTATACCTACGTTATCTTTTATCCGGGGGTCGTCTGCCTTTTTTAAAAACGCTAGCCCCCTACCCTTTTATCTAGGTCCGTTTATTATAATTTATTTATTTAATAGACGATTATATATAATAAAAACGGTATAATTATTATTATTATTTTTATTATAATTATAATTAATTCCCGTAACTACGATAATAACTATCGTTTATCCTTATATTACGTATATATAATCCCGGCTACGTCTTATTTTTATTATATAATTTAGCCTTATTATAGCTGTTACCGGTCGTTATTTTCGATTATAATTAATATTTTACGCGCTTTATAATATATTGCTTTTCTTTTTCCTAAACCTATTACTTATTTTTGCTTAAATAAAAGCCCCTAAATTATCCCTTTTACCGGTTTAATCGCGTCTTAAATTAAAAAATCGTAAATTATTATTATTATTATTATTATTATCGCTAGCCGAGCCTAATAGGCTTTTTTTTATCGGCCTTTACTACCCCTTATTTTAGGCTATTTCTAGGCTAATTATAATATTATCCTACGCCTAATCC